TCAACGTATCCTACCTAAAAATGTTCCCTCAGCAGCATTTCTCCTTGCTACACGTTAGCCATTCAATAGGCGCACGAATCCATTTTAGACGCTTCATCTATCCCTCCCTGGGCGCCTGGCTCGCCTCCCTGATGTTCCGCATTGTACCGAGACCGGAACCAGGGAGATTGCCGGGAGCCACTCTTCGACCTGCCTCAAAAGTAGGGAGTTGCAAAGACAGGACCTGACGCCCGGCAAGAAGTTCTACAGTCTATTTATTTGCTAATAACTGCATTCACATTCCAGCGTCGACAAAGTGTACCTCTTGCCCATCATCGACGGCCGTTTCATGATTGCTGTCTATACGGTTATACAGGTTGGTGGAGCAGTTTAGCAGCACAAGTTTATCAAGCTATCGTCAAAGAAACTATAGGGGAGTATGAGTTGCTTCGGGCCAGGGAATGACAAAATGAAAGTTTGGAGGAATTGAATCACAGTTATTGGAGACAAGATAAATCAAAAGTTACGCCATACTCCCAACCGCCCTAATCATCGGCACACGAGATTCTCGTTTGAGTTGGACGCTTAACTCAACTTGACGGAAGAACATGTAGACGTAGACCAGGAAGACGATCCTACATATGAACAAGTTAACGAATATTGAAAAAAGCTACCCAAAGTTAATGTAGAGTGCCACAAGCAGACGAGTCATTGGGTCACTTCTCAAGACCGCCTTCATGCGTTGCCCGCTCCGCTCGAGCTGAGTCTTTTCCGGGCCCTAGATGTATGGTTACGCATAGACCGCTTAACGCACCTCCGAAGCGAAGAAAGCTTTGATCTTTGCAATGGATTGATGGTAATAATCTCTAAAGCACAAATGAATAACCCTGGAGAAGCTAACCGTAATGAAACCATCCAGTCAGGCATTTGCAATCCAAAGATCAGCGAAGGTTTCGTCGCCGACGGCGGGCGCGAGTTCTCATGGCACGCTACCAGCGACACCGCCAGGAATAGGCAAGCCAAACGGATGAGCAGACACATTTCCGACTAAACGGTAATTGGAAATTAGGTGGTAAGCACTTTTAGTTATGTGTCTGTCAATAACTCGTTACAAATTGCCACACTAAACATAACAAAACTTTATTGAGTTTCAATTGAATAGTCAAAATAACAGTAGAAATCAGGTTGTAGACATGCATTTATGGGAGAGCTTGGTAGATGGCGTCGAAGACATTCGGTTCGTCACGGTGCAGGTCTATTTCCATGAAGTCGAAGAGACTGGGGATGAGACTAAACAAAATTCAGTGAAGCGAAAGTTGGACTCACACAGAGACGTAAGCCGGCAACACTTCTGGGCTTCGCACGAAGTGAAGATAGCAAAAGCGCAACAAGTGTATGATGCCGTAGATGCTGAAAACCAGATACATCCATAATTTTGATGTATACCGGCAAGGGTAGAATTCCTCATCTTTTTCCAGCAACTCTCGACGAATCTCGAGGGCATGCCAGCGCTCAAGCGTGTATAGTGTGGAACTAAAAAAAGAATAAATCGTTCCCAATTTCCCACAATAGACGGTCGTTGAACTCCTCGCAGACCCATCGAGCGAAGTAGAACTAGACAAAGTAATTAGTTGAAATACTTATACTGACCTGCTGTTCAGCATCAAGGCTTTTAATCTCCTCGTTGAGAGGGCGCTCGAGGTACTGAACAGCTAATTAATCAACCATTTCCAACCCAAAATACCTTCTTCATAACATCCATGATGGTAGGACTGCCACCAACTTGCATCCACTTTCCTTGCTGCATCTGGGCTGCCAGGTTAGGAGCCGAAAAAACCACAAATTCACCTCTTTCTGGTCTTTCTGGAGCACATTCCAAAGCTTCGGCGGGAATTGCACTGGTTTTTCAATAAACACGCGAAGCCGCACAGTCTCCTTCGGAACAGCGACCTAAATGACAGGAAATCTTTTTTGTTAAGGCTCGCTCTACCCTTCCGAACATTCGGAATTCCTGTGAAGTCAGTGGTCTCTCGAGCACCATAGTGAGTTCATCCTGTCTCATTTGCCAATCGTGATGGTGTCCCAAGTTCTAAACAAGACTGGAATTATGCAAACTAAGGTACCTTAAACCGGAGATTATACCAAAAGTCGGCGCCCATGGGGAAATCGCGATGGTTTTCTACAGCAGTCACCGTTGCAGCGAATTGGCCATCATACGATCGGACCAGCAGATGCTGTCCCTCCTTGTAGGTACTGTCCGGATGGGGGTCCTCGGCGTCAGACATCACCTAAATCAGCGACGTAATTTATTGCAGAAATCGCTGCGTAAAAAGAAAAGCGAAATGAAAATTGCATGAAAAGACAAAAATGCGGGCAAAATTCAGCATAAACTCGTAGGCGAATGCAAACGGGGGCAACTGTACAAGAATCTACGCAACGACGATAAACATTTTAGTAAATTAAAGTGTGGCTAAACTATTGGGGCCAAAAGATCGTCACCATTCATAGATTCCTACGTGGTAGAGCGAGACATAGCACAACGGAACGCACACAAGTTACATAAACTAAAAGGCGTGAAACACAACGTCTCAGTTGTCCGAATACTTCTCAGTCAGCTTGCTTAGCAGCTCACGATGGCTCAGCTCTCCCTCGTCGCTGACTTGGAACTGCAGCAGCTTCCCGGTACCAAGTGAAGCCTTGATCGCAGAGGCTGTCGAGGCGTACACCATCTTCTTCTTGATCGGGGCGCCATCCGGGCAAAGTTGAATGAAGATGATCTTGTCCATCTTGGACACGCCGGCACCGACGCGAGACGTGGTAAACTTGAAGTCGAACACGGCGTATCGGCAGTCTGTGAAATCGTTGGTGCGCGTGTTGAGATCGGTGACGAATTTTTCGAAAGCCGCCTTGCTGCACGTTTCGTAGTCGTCCTCAGTGCCGGCGAGTTCGTCGTGCGTGACGGCGGCTTCGACGACAACCTCACGCTCTTCGATCTTGAAGATGATGTAGCGGAATTCCTTCTTGCCCTCGCTGAGCTTCATGAAGGTGGACTGGACGTCCGCGTTGACAGCAACTCCCGATGTCGACATCTAAAATGGGGAAATATAAACGTTGAAGAAAACTAAAAAAGCATCAGTTGAGAAAAAAAGAAAACAAAGAAAGAAAACGCCGGGCCGGGAGCAAAGAGAAGGCGTGAAACCGGTGTGCAATACGGTGGTGGGTCATGCTATAGGCGCCCGATGGGTACTGCCCGATGTTGTCAACTGGAACTTGCGGAAAACAAAATAAAGGACGAAGTTCTCGATTTTGAAATATTTTCGAACTATTCTAATCAAAATTATTATTGTCTATAAAGTTTTGATGGAATCTTTTAAATGACAGCCCATCCAGATCCCGTTCCTTTACTTGATGATCTCCCAAACGCCCGAAATTGCTTCGGAAACCCGGCCGGGGTCTAGGCAAGATGTTGGGCAGCAGCAACTCGGGCCACGAGATCAATACGAGGAGATCGAGGGAAACACAGAACCAGGCAAGCTCCCTCGAATTTTAAGTTTTTCTAGCCTCGGGAATTAATTTCATAGCGCATGTCTCGGACCATCGATGTGGATTTTGAATTGGTTTGTCGCGTTTAGACAACCACTGGGAGCCCGGGACGATGCGACTCGTCCTCCTAGCGGCCGCGATCACATTTATCGGACAGGTAGCTTTACAAAGATTTGATTTCTACAAACAAAGTTGCCTTTCAGTTGTTGTTCACCTTATTCCCGTTCTTCGTCTTTGCGCGCGAGGACCCGACGGTGTTTTACTATCAATTCTTCATGGCGAGATAGATTTTTTAAAGCAATAATGGTTAGTTTAGACGTGCTGTGTGGTGGGCCGAGTGATGGCGGTCATCGGCGCCGACAGCATTGCCCCGATTTTCTTGATTGGGCTCAGTATTGTGGGTTTTCTAGGATGATAGGGTATCGGCGATCTATTTTTTAAATCTAGCTAAATAAATTGGCGCAATTGGCAATTTGCCATCAACGATTTCTTAGTTGGCGTGCGGGTTCTCGACTTGCGTGTTCATCATCGACAAGGGGCTGACGCTGGGCACGGCGCTGGCAGCCTTCTCATTGTCACAGCTTCTGCCGGGCGCTCTTACCTACGCGAAACATACGCTGCTTCTGAAGGGTTGGTTGTTATACGCCTTCAGTATAGCTATTTTCAGCCGAATCTGTGTCGCTCATCGTATCCGGCGCCTCATTTGGAATGCTGGCATATCCGCTGTTTCTGAATTTAGCTAGGGTACGTTTTTCACCAAGAAGAAACGTAAATGTCTTTAGCTAGCTCTGCATCCCGATTAGCCTAGTATATTTTAGGAAAACGATTCGCGGCTTTTCGTCGCGATCAGCTTTTTCTCCACTCTACTGCTCGTTTTCCTCTTCGTTTCCATGCTGAATTCACAGGCACAAACCGAACGCACGAAAGGTAGGATCTAACCGCAACAACGACAAAACTAGTTTCATTTCAGCAACGCAGGATCGAGTACAGGCCTTCATCTCTCGGTTCTTTTCCGGGGAAACTGGCTCGGGTCTGCGCCGGGCTCCATCTATTAAGCCGCTCATTTCTCGGTTACGGCCGATGTCGTATAGACGGTAGGCTGGTCCTTATAGGAGTTGAGAGAGATCGAGGGAGAAGAGAGAGAGAATACATTTTCAGATTCCGAAACCAAGGTCGGCGGGGCGATTCTGTCGAGCGGGTTCCGAAGATCAAAGTCACGCTGGAGCGCGAGCCGCAGGTCCAGTTCAATTGAGGTACTTAATTATTTTTGATCTAGCGCCGAGAATTTACATTGCTTAACTAGTTTCAGATTTGATGGCGTATTTCTCTCGCCCGGCTTCGCCGAACACTGTGTATGTAGCTGTAAAAGTCGCTCTCATTTCTCACGTATAAATCGTCTCATAAACCAACTTTTTTATGAACATGGAAAATGGGAATGGGCACAAATAGGGACTGGGAAGGGACACAGGGAGGGGGTACCCGCTTGTACAATGGACATTTTGTGGTCTAGTGGCTTCAACATAAGGGCCGATCAGCCCTGGATCCGCTTCTCGACGACGTGCGACATGTTTTCCAGCTGCTTCAGGTTCAGCGCGTAGCCGACGAAGAAATCATCGCACAGGTAGGGCAATTTTGTGTCCTAGAATTTTGTCAATTTTATGTTTTGTGTGTCTTTCTAACCTTGCAGAACTGCTTGACGAGCTCGGAGCACTTGCCGAGGTTGCAGCGGGGCATCGTGGGGAAGAGGTGGTGCTCCACCTGGTAGTTCAGGCCTCCCCAGAGCCAGTCGATGAACGGCGACGGCGTCATGTTGCGGGTGGTCAGGATTTGGAGGGCGGCAAAGTTGTTGAGGATCCGGGAATTGGCTGAAAAGTTTTTATTGTATTGTAATTTAGAAAAAATTTATTTTTTTGTATAAAATTCTATCTGTAAAATTGTAAAAAGTAGGTTGTCCGCTATTTGCTGAAAATTTTTTAGTTTTTTTTTGTAATTTCCTCTATTCTTTTTGATATAAAATTTTATCTGAAAAATTATGAAAAGTAACTAAGTTATTCAAAAACTAAAGGTAGCTTTGATTTATCACTTACCAGGATACTTGTCGACCGAGTTGTGGTTGAACGTGACGACGTGGCCGATCAAAAAGCCGGCGCCGCCCTTAAGCGATTCCAGTTAACATTATTTTTCAGGGTCTTAAGCTAAAATTAAATTAGCTTAAGCTTTTCTACGTAATTAACCAATTTTTAACGTATAGTTTAAAAACCTACCTGTGAAATCAAGAAGAACGCGATCCGCAGCGGCCAGCTTGGCAGCAGGTACAGCTGGAGAAGCACCCACGCCCAGTGGATCGACAGGCCCAACTAAAACCCGTGTTTAAGCCATATTACGGGAAAACCCCCGGTTAAGCGGAGACGATACTTCAAAGTACAACGGCTGAATTACCTACCTGTTGCTCAAAGGCGTGCTCGCGGTACGAGCGGAAGTTGGACTTGTTCTGCGTGAAGGCAAACTGCAGCGACTGGGCCAACCATGAGAAGCGCAGCATGGGCAGCATCGCGGTGAAGTACAGGTGTTGGTAGGGGACGATCTGGGAAGCAGGTTATGGACTTTTACATCTTTTGAGTGTTAGAGTGAGAAAATGACAGAATCAGTTTCAAAAAACCCGACAACAGCGACAAGTTATGCTCAAAATTCTGGGAAAGTACAGGTCGCCCGCTTAAGAAACCAACCTTCAGAATAGCCTTCTCCAGCGGCTCCTTGTACTTGAGCAAGTCGGCGGGCACGAAGGTGACGAGGGGCGCTAGATCGATGTCCCCGTCGTGGTCAATCATGTTGGTGGTGGCGTGGTGGGTGTTGTGCTAAAAATTAGGCAAAATTTTCATCTACATTCGGGTTTGCATACCTTGTCCTTCCACCAATCGCTGGCAAAACCCTGGGCGATATTGCCAAAGAAGATGCCGAAACGGTCGTTCATACGGCGGTTCTAAACAGGATTTTAGGGGTGCTTGGCTGTTATCAGGGGGGAGGGCTAACTCTTGCCTGTCGTCCCGTAGGGTTCCAATTAATCATTTCTACAGCTTTATGGACCGTTTTTATTCAGAGAAAGGTCATGCAAAGATTAGGAAAATCTCCAAAAAATTTCTTTTTTTTTGCTCAAAAAATCTAAAAATGACCAAAATTTCGAAATTTTCTAAATTTAAATAGCTTTCTACAAGGTTTGCAAGTAAATAAAGGTCATATTACATTTTTTATTTACATTTTGATTAAATATTACATTTTGGAGAATCTTTTTGATTTTCGGCCCAAAATGTTTGAAAAAGCCCTCAAAATGAGAAAAATGTCGAATTTCTGGGACTTTTTCGTAAGCAAAAACCGCCAAAAATGCTCTAAAAATGCAGCTTTACTCTGTAGGAATATGATATATCAGTATCTTTGAGCAAAAAAATATCCCCCTACCTTGAACGGCTGATGATGGCAAAACTCGTGCGTCATCCAGCCGAGCTGCTGCCAGCAGAGGGCCATCGCACACGCCGCCGTAAGGTACCATCCGTTGTATTGGAGGGCGAACCCGAGCAACATGATCGACATCGTGGACACCATTTTAAAGTAATAATATCTAAGGATACGTTATTAATAATTTGTTAATATTCACTAACCCCTCCTTCGCATCCATCAGTCCAAACCGGTGGACATCTTGGCGGAGTTGTTCGAAACGGAGGGTGATTTGTTTCTCCTAGGAAATGATGGGTCTGGTTTCTTTAAGATTCCGAACCTCCTCAATGGTAATATCATACGAAGAAACGTTAACGTCAGTCTGATCGTTGCGCTTCTTGATGTACTCCTCGAGGTCTTCGCTCTGGAAGAAAAGGATAGAACTAAGGTTTTTAAATATCATTAAATTTACCAAAAACACTATTAAACCACAAAATATTACATTGTTCAGTAGCAGTACATACAAATTCGATCTTGCCCCTCCCCCCGATACTGCAAAAGAACCGAACCTTCGAATTCTTACCTGATCCCATGATGTCTTCTTCAGAACCTCCACCTGCTTGTACGCCATGGCGCTGCCCTCGTGGAAAGCGTGGAACATGTGCGTGGCATCGGCATTGCTAAATGAAGAGCATTACCTAAGCGGGCCTCAAAAACTTACGCGTACTGCTTGATGACGTTGCCGCCGGGATGGTTGTGGATCAACTCATCGCTGAGGTGCAGCCATTTGTCGTCGACCTGGTGGAAAGAATGTCAAATGTTAAGTAATGTGGTACCTCTAACATTTTTTTAACAAGTTTTTGGTCATTTTTCATACATTTTTGGTCAAAAAGTTACAGATCTTATATATCTAAAAACTGCATAAAATGCGATAAAATTGTTTATATATTGTTGTAGTACAAGATTACTGCGAAAAAATTAGTTTTCCCCTGCTAAACCCCCCCTGCTAACACCCCAGTACCAAAAAAATGTTACCCCCTTGGAACTTCTAAAGAACCAAAGCATGCCTTTTTACACATTTTCCCGAGTATTTCCCCCAGGTCAGCTGATTACCCTTTTTTATTTCCCTTCAATTTTTCGGGTGACCTGTTGGCCGTATTTCATCCGATGCGAGCAGCGCCGTGGCAACCCTTATCTCACCCAGCCCACTCGCTGTCTACCCCCCGAAATGAACGGGTGAATTTTTTTGGGCGCTTCGCGGCTGTTCGATCCGGGGCAAAGCACACCACTGCACGCCAAGCCGTTTTTTGGCGGCGATCCGGGCCGTCGTACCTTGATACTCTGGTATAAATGGGTGCAGCGCTACTTGGGGAATGCGGAAAACAAATTTCGGAGATAGCGTTGTTGAAGCTAGTGAGTTCATTTTAAGAAAGTGAAGACAAGTTATCTTAATTTCCTTGATTTTTGGGAGGGCGAAATCCACGAACCCGATGGAAAAATAAAAAAGCAAAAAGGAAAAGCTCGGTTCGGAAATTCGGAAGTTCGGGGATCTTTCGGTACTGGACTGTTAACAGGGGGCGGGGGGGTAGCAAGGGAAAGGCTAATTTTTGTTTTTCCGCCTAACCCCACCTATAGATAATATAAATGGGGGCTGTATTCTTGTAATGTTTTTAGTAGTTTTTTATTTAAAAGGGTCCAAAATGATCTTAACGATTTTTGAAAATTCGAAAATCTGACGCGTTTTGGTCCTTATTCATATTTTCACCAAAAAGTAAAAAATCCTGCAATGAGTTTTTATTAACTAATATAAAAGTTGCGTAAAATGCTATAAAAATTGTATATATTTGACTATTGGCAGACTTAACTACTACAAAAAAAATCACATTTTTCGAAAATTTTTGGACCCCCCCCCCGCTAACGAACAAGAACCCGCTTAGCAATTCGAAGTTACTGAATCGAGTCCACATACCTTGAGTCGAATCCCATTTCCCTTGAGTCCCATCGTGGCCTATTAGTGCTTGGGTGAGGCTGGTGCGAGAGCCGGCCTCTGGTTGTGGGCTCGGGGGCCGAAGTGTGGCCGGCGGGGTCGAATCCCCCCGAAGATGGCTGTGAGAAGAGGGGAAGAGAAAGAGAGATGGTCAGAGATTGGGAAGGGATTGAGAAATTGAGATGGAGAGTGATTGGGGGGAGAGCAGAGGACGCGGGCGGCAGACGGTATGGGACGGGGTGGCGTGAGATCCAGCAACCTCCCACCCCCAGCCGTCCGTTCCCGCCAGTCCAGTTGATCTTTTCGGGCGACCAATTGGAAGTGAGAGAGAGAGAGAGTGCCGGAAGTGTTAGTGCATTGAACGTTTTTTTCAAGCTGCAACAACCTATAGCGAAAAGCTAGGAATAGGCGGAGTTTTTTTGGCACTGGACTGTTAGCAGGGGGACGGGGATTTTCCCAGTAATCCCAGACGGTCCTATAACAAAATATGGACAATTTTAATAGCATTTTACATAGTTATTTTTAGATCTGAAAAGCCCATAAAAAATAAAACATTACCGGAATTTTTTTAACTTTTGAGAAAAAATCTATGAAAATCCCCATAGTCAAATTTTAAAAAATATTTTGACAAGTTTCTAACAATCAAAAATCATAATACCGCTCGTCCGGAGATTCGAAAGGTTCCGCTCGTAATTTCAAAGCTTTTTAAATTTGTTCACCCATGTGTTAATTTTTGTTCTCTCCTAAAACCTTCTGCAAAGCGACTCTGTTAGCTAGCCATGTTCTCAGGCTTTCCCTTTCTTCAACGATCAATCGAATTCCACAGTTTCGCCTTCGCCAGCAACTAATCCGATAAGAGGCCCCCTATCTTCGCATTCCCTCAAAAAAGGCGCTTCATGTGTTGTATCTAGTCTGCGCGGCACGTTTCGCAACTTTTTGAGTTGAATATAATTTATCCTCTGGGCAACGTGTCATTATCTCGATTGGGGAAGTGTACCAGCTTGTTGAATCCAATGTTGGGTGGGGGGGGGGGTAAAGGGCTCAAAATGCTACCTTAAAAAATATAAAACTGGTTTGGCGTGTGGCAGGGACACCGCGTAGTCTGCTTGAGCGCATCGTAAGTAAAAAAGGCAACATGGTCTGTATGGGGGCAGTAATTTAGGGAGCTAAGAAATTAGTTTAATGGATTGCGAAGCCGGAGAAGACGTGTTGAACGTCTAAATTTTGTAGTGCTAGTTTTTCGGCTTGACAAAAGGCAAAAAAAGGGTTCTTCCGCTTCACAATCCCTTGAAAAGGCAAATACTCGGCACATTAGTGAAAATACATCGAAAGAGATCGCCAAAAAATCAGGGCACATCGGGTAATCGGTTAAAGTAAGTAAGTCGGGGGCATTCAATTGTCGCATAAAATCGGGGAATGGACACATTCAGTCGTTTTACAGCACTCAGGAAGTTGAGCAAAACGATCGGAGCAAAAAGAAATAAGTAAATGAAAATGCTTACAAAGTAGGAAGAAAACAGCAGGGAAAGAACTTCAGGCCAGCTCAAAATTTTTTCAAAAACGTCAGAATTTAAAATTATAACTTTTAGAAAAAGTAAAAAAATGAACAATTTAAGAGCATGGTCAGATAGCCAAAAAACGAATCGGAAGTGAACTGGAGAGCTTTTCAGGGCCAGGTAAATACATAGAGAATAATACTGGGCGAAAGGCAGAAAAACTGGAAAAAAACGAATGGCACCTCGTATGCTACGGGACAAACTGGCCAATGTTTTCAGTGGAGTCGTGGGAGAAGCCAGTTGTTGGAATTCCTACGACGGCGTCGGCAGCGTGGGATGGCCATCCTGAAGCGCTTTCGGTGATGCCGTCTTGTCGGCCGGTTTCGTTCCGGGAGGCGGGAAGTAGCCGGCTGAAAGAAAGGGTTTAGAAATCACTTTTGAAAGTTAGGCCAGGCAAGAAAATCAAGTTAAAACTGACGCATTGGCATCATGCCCATCGGCATATTTGGGTCCATCGGCGGCCGCATGTTTGGTGGAACGCCCGGGTGCATCATCATGCCTGAAAAAAAGGTTGTAAAAAAATTCGCTTCCAAATTTTTAAGCGGGCGGCAGAGGCCACACTATATTTTTGGCGTCTTTTCGTCGATGTTAAAGAGACGTCCTCGTTAGGGAAATTTGCTTACTTTGCCTTCTACAGGGTGGCGATTAAGTATTTGCGCCTGTTTCAAGCACGTTTTTAGGAGCTAAATCGTAGTCGGCAGAAAAAACAAATAAGTCCTTTTTGTAGAGAATTTTTTGCTATATCAGATGCAAGGTGAAAACAGGAAACCGCTTCACCACACAATTTTAATTTGTCTAAACATCTAAAACCGCGATTTTTTGTATGGATTTTCTTCATTTTTGAGGAGCTCAGAAATTTTTTTGAAGAAGCTGGATATATTTCCCGATGTTTGATCGTGGAAAGAGCTACCTGAACTTGCTAGAAAAAATGGGTATGTGCAACAGGGAGTCCTGAGTAGGGCACGGAAGCGAAAGTAAATTTTGGCAAAGCTCGAGGGCCGCGCATCCTGTCTCAGAGCGACTTATCGCAGAAGAATGCATTCTAAAAAATCGCACCTTTGAGGTATCTTTTTCGTTTTGCTATCAAAATGTAGGTAATTCTTGCGTCTTTTTACAAGCCACTTTAGCTCGAGCGAGAAAAGCTAAATTCTCCAGCCCATGATTTTTTAAGAGTGGAGCAAACGGGTCGCATAACCATGCATTTCATTCCATTGTTTTGTGCAAACATTTTGAGCTTTTTGAACGCCCTTAAGCTTTTCCGGGCCGTTTGGATCGCTTAAGCAAATCCCCATCATGGAAAACATCTTCGACAAGTGGTTGTAGAAATTTGAGATATTTTGTGTTTTTCGTGAAAAAGCCTCCCGCGCGGCCCAATTTTGGTGGTCGAGAAAACTATGAATAAAACTAGGCTCCGATTAGAAATAATTTTTCTGTCTACTACGTTCGCTAAAGGGCTTTGCAAAGCATATAAAGGCCACTTGTTGTTTTCACCAACTGAGATACTTAGGCTGAAAAGCTTAAACAAAGGGACGAGATACGCGCGGCCCTCGCTGATGTTTGGGCGCTTCTCTCAAAGGTCATATCTTGAAAATTTAAGAATTAGGGCCGTAGATTTATTGGTAGCCGTAATTACAGGGTGTCCCAAAATTATCCGGACAAAGTTGCAAAGCGGTTTTTTTCTATTTTTTCCCTGTTTTTGCAGACCATAATTTAATTTCTATGAATTGTTGAAGTGTATTTAATAAGCTTAAAAAGAAAACTGCGCGTGAATCCGTCATATCTTTTCAAAATAAATTGAAGAAGTTCGAACCAAATTTATCTCTCCTTGCAAACGCTGAAAACGCGCATGCTTTCCGATCCCATAACAAACGTCAGCATGACCGGACGAACGTAGAAACCACAGGAAGTGTTCGGAAATGACCAGTCAACACTTTATCCGGCCCAAAAACGCTAGGTTTATACCAGAAAAAAAAACAACCAGCAAAAAGGTTGAAATCGAGGTACGCCCCGCCCCGGTTGCCTTAAAGGTTTTGCTCTGGAGGAACCCTAAAAACGCGATATGATTATAGTCAAAGACTAGAGGCATAAACTTTTGGCGGTAACGATGATGAACAAGCGATTTAAATTAAGCTAACTTTGATTTTTGAGGAGCTTGAGCACGAGCAAGCATCGAAATGGCTTGCCCAGTAATGGGATGGAAATCGGTATTAAACGGAAAAATGACCATTAACATGTCGGAATCTTGGCGGAGTTCGGTCCGTTTTGCCAGAAAACGTCATTTCTTGTCCACAAAACCGCCTGAACTCATTTTGAAAGTTTACCGCAATTTTTATGTTATTTAAGAGGCGAAAAATTTTAACATGCTCTTCGCTCGATTGTGAAGCTATTTTGCGTTCTACCAGAATTTTTTTTTGCATGGTGCATCGAAAATGCCTCAAAAAATATTATGAAATACAATGCGGAGGCCGAAAACAGCGGAAAAATTGAAAAAGTCAGTTTTCAGTTTTGTCCGGATAATTTTGGGACACCCTGTAGGTTATATTAGCTACATTATGGTCGTAAAATAATTTCGGTGAAACGCTTCGGTCATTTTTTTACGCTGCCTTTCCTGGCGCAAATACTTAATCGCCACCCTGTATATCAAGTTAGCTCTAAAATCGCGAGCATAGTTTTGTTTTGTAGTTTGTAGTTTCTCTGGTTTCCCCCGTAACCAAGGTCACTTTTCGATGTAACAAACTCACCAGGCGGCATCATGCCAGGGTAGGGCCCATAGCCGGGGTGTGGGGGCATACCCGGATTGGCGCCAGGCGACATCCCGGGCCCGGGCATCCCTGGCATCCCACCAAAGTACGGCGGCGGCGCGTAGGGGCCACGCATTTGCATCGACGGGTGATAGGGCATCCCGTTCGGTGGCATTGCTAAAAATCACGATGTTCAAATTCACCTTGTCGAAATGTTCCAAAATGCCGACAAATTTTATTTGCAAAATAAATAAAACTATCTCACTTGCTGACGGGGTCGACGTGGGGGTGGTGGTGCTGGTTGGCGGCGGTCCTTGCATCATCGGGCTGGGGTATTGGCCCGGAGAGTTCATGGCCGCTGCTGAATCGAGTTCATTCGCTAAGGTCAGAAAAATCTACCTTTATTCATGGCCTGCTGTTGGGCGGCCATCATTTGTTGTCGTTGGTAGGCCATGGCCTGCTGCTGCATCACCCACTGTTGATAGGCCGGGTGGTTGGGAGGCGGGGGGCCCATCTGCATTCCGTTAGGCATAGGAGGCCATGGGTACCTGGAAAATAACCATTTTTTTTCGTATTTTGGCATCGTCGGGCGGGACCAACCTTTTTTCTAAGAGTTTTTGTAAGGGTTTTGTCTCTGATAAGATAGAGGAAGTGTTTATTAGCTGTTTTTTACTATTGCTATGCGTAAACCCTTTACAAATGCTATTAAAAAAATAAAAAATGGTCGATTTTCGACCAATAATTTTTTTGATTGTTTTCCCACTTCAATATTATTACATTTTGCTAAATACGGTCGTAAAACACTTACTATTACGTTAATAAGCATTTCGGGACTTGTAGGAAAAAGCCGGTCCCCCGATAACGCACAAGAACAATTTTTCCGAGCCGATTCACATATTTTTGGAATTGAGAACCTGGCTTTCATAACTCTCCAATACACACATCGGGGGATAGCCGCCAGGGTAGTTCATTTGGGGTTGCATCATTCGCTGTGGCATCCCATGAGCAGCGGCGGGATGAGGTGCGCCATTCGCTTTTCCTAAAAGCCGAGGTTAGACCCTAAAACGCCGTGCTTACCGTTCGGCATTGGTGGTGGGTAAGTTCCGGCGCTGTTCGGGCCCGATGGCATGGAATACTGGGGGTAAGGGGACGGGTAGACGCCGGCAGATTGAGGACCAGTCGGCATCATGCCTGAAATGACGTTTATCAAGCCACCAACCAAAACCCACCATTCGTATTCGGCGGCGGGTACATTGGTGATTTTTCGGGGGCGGGCGCTGGGGGCACGGATGTTTGAGATTCGCTGGTAGAAGGGGCACCGTTGCTGCTCCCGGCTCCCATCAGCTTCTCCCATTCCTCCCTGAAAATGGACGTTAAACTGATTGCTTGAAAAATCATGGACCAGGGAGGCGGTTCTTTCGCATTAGCGGGGGGATAGATAGAATTTTGTCTATTAGTCCAGAAACGCCTAGCACAAAGCGCAATCTGAGGACTCCATCAAAACTACCTCAAAAAATTAAAACAATTTTTTAACTTGATATTTTTTGGCGAAAACCAATTTTTTTTCTTGTTTTTGAACATAAATTTTTACGCATAGAATAGTAAAAACAGTTTTGAAACACTTCATCCATTTATATCAATTAAAAAATTGATCCTAAGGAAAAAGTCCCCCCACGCTAATGCGAAAGCACCAAGAAGACAATGAACGAAAAGCGCTCACTTTCCGGCGCTCGGCGCCATCAGTTGCGGTTCGGGGTTCGGCCGGGACAGCGGGGCCAACATCGGATTGGTGAAGCTTTTCTCGATCTCCTCCAATGTCTGCATCTTTGCGTTTCGCTCTTTTTCGGCGTCTCTAGAAAAATTTCCTTGATTGAGTGGTTTGCGCAGCATTTTTAGGAGAATTTTATTTCCCAGCACGATAAATTAAAAATTCTCTAAAATGTACTAAGAATTAGATGCTTAAAGGCCAATAACTACCTGGTTTTATCCATACTCCCCGCCGAGCTGACCACAGTATTCATGCCATTGTCGAAAAGCGGAATATTCGTCATTCGTTCCATTTTTCTAAAAGAAAAAAGTTGTTATGGGTAAAAAAGCACACCTTAGCGGGTTGTCGTCCAGCTTCTCATCCAGAGCGCTGCCCGCGCACAGGTCGTTGTAAATTTCTTTGATCGCCGGATTATCGTGCTGTGGGATGGGCGTCTTGAAAAGGAATTCGTCGCTAGCGTTGTGCATGGGGAAGCTGCTGGGCTTCGGCTGCTTCGGTTGGGAAGATGAAGAAGGCTCTACCGAGTTCTAAATTGAAACTTTGTAAATGCAGGCAAAAATTTTGGAAAGCCTTTCAAAAAACTTACGGGCTGCGCATTCCGTTTCCGGCTGGCCGGTTTCTGCTTTGGGGGAGGATAGGGTGGTCGCATGGTCATGGCCCCATCCTGGAATACTTGAAAGTTGCGATTATCAACATCGACACTACCGGTTTCGCGGCCTGGTGCCAGGAGACGACACTGTCGAACTGCCTGCTATCCACCGCCCGAGCCGCATCGTTCGCCATCGCGCTTCTGAAATCGATAATCGGGAACCCTTACTGATAAGCCGGACACAGGTACGACAGTTTCCAGCTAAAAGGTCAAGCAAAATCTAGGGCGGCTAGAAAATGGAGTCGTTTTTTGGATGGCGTTAAAATAGTGAAAAATGAAAAAGAAATTTTGGGTACTAAATTTTTGCTAGAAACAGCGATTTACAGCTAACAAAAAAAAAAAAATCAAGGAAATACGTACGTGAAGACATATTTGATCGGCGGCTGCTTGCCATCGTTGCTGGCTTGATCTTGGGGGCTGACGGCCCATTGGTTGGAGGGGACCGACGTTGCTTGCTCAGGGGAAGGATGGCGTATCGCGAAGAATGGGTTCAGGTCCGGCTGCAACGGGTATATAAAATCAGAAGCTTGGCGATTGGCTCATTTAAAAACCCCCTTTATTAATTAAAAAAACGTTATAACGTCATTCTTAATTCGGCAGCGAAAAAGGATGAGTGGTGGGCTTTTAAAGCGTCCTGATAATCGCTGCGAGTTACATACCGAATTCAGGCACCAAATTAGCGCATTTTTCCAAAACAAAAAAAAACGGATTTTGAGAGTTTAGTTTCCATGCTGCCCATCTAGGCTTACGCACCATTTTCAACACATTATGATTTTGTCCAGAAACGTTTCCCATGGTTACTTCAGTTAAAAAAACACTAACTTATCTAGACTGAAGGAATGCGGGTGAAAAAAATGCGATTGTAGGACCATAACGCAAACTAGTACAGTGTGTGCCAAAATGATAGGGGAATGAAGTTTTTGGTCGTTTTCTTGGCGGTCCTTTATGTTGCTGTAAAGCCGAATGACAGGCTCTGTAGTCCGGAAAAATGCGCATCTTTTGGTCTATTTGAAATCTTTCTACGGTGCAGGATAACAGTTGTACAAGCGATTGAACAAAAATAGGGAAAAAACACAAGTGACAAAATGATAGGGGAATCATTAACATATCATTTCCATCAACTTTCCGTATGAATAGTGGATGCTAATTAGATGCAAAATTTGACCGACGACTTCCGGGCCGAATTTTGGCCAGAAAATACGATTTTTACATCTTCTCCCGCTAGGAATCTGTAATTAAAATCAATCAACATCCACTATTCATACGGAAAGTTGATGGAAATGATATGTTAATGATTCCCCTATCATTTTGTCACTTGTGTTTTTTCCCTATTTTTGTTGAATCGCTTGTACAACTGTTATCCTGCATCGTAGAAAGATTTCAAGTAGACCAAAAGACGCGTCTTTTTTCGGGCTATTAGACCTATGATTTTGTTTTACACGGAAATCGAGGACAGCCGAGAAAACGGCTAAAAACGCCATTCCCCTATCATTTTGGCACACACTGTATTTTCCAATTTCGAGGGGGTATTTTCCAAGTTTCGCTGCAGACAAACTGACCCTGAACTCGCCGGAGGAGCTCGGCGTGATGGAGCTGGGCGTGTTAGACATTAGGTGGTTACGCTGCGCTGCATATGTCTGAAATTGGCGATTATCGTTCAGTAGATAATAAAAAATGAGGGCGTAAACGGAATCGGAAACGGAACAGGAAGCGAGCGGCGGGGTAGGTGGTAAAGGACCCTGCTTCAAACCACTGCAAAGGAGGCAGAGGGGGATAGATGGTCTAGCGGGGGATACGGTCAAGAGGTCGCGCTGCTAGCGACATGGGACACCTGCAAAAATGTCTCATTTCCGGCGGTGCCGAAAATCGTGGAAATTACAGAGAAATTGAACGAAAGGTACCGAAAATAGGTAGTTTTAGAAAGCTTTAATTCTCTAAAATAGAAAGATATAAAAATAGTTCGTTGTAGATAGCTTTAATTATCTAAAATCGAAATGTATCAAAAATAGGTTATTTTAGAAAGTTTTAATTATCTAAGACCGAAGGTGTCAAAAATAGTCTATTTTAGAAAGTGTCATTTATCCAAAAGAATTGCAAAGTTCCCCGGGTTCGTACGCTAACCTTGTAAAGACTCTTTGTTAACAATAAAAATTAATAAATCAATGAAAAATACATTTTAATTAGTAATAGCCAGTTGTCAGGGCATACCTTGTAGATTAGTTCCGTTATTTTAGCGTCCGAATACTTATAATTAGCGCATTACTCTAACCTTCCAAAAGTCGCCGGATCAGCCGCCTTCAAAACACCTAAATTAGCATCTGAAAGGCTGAATTTACGCTAGAATAAAAACGACACCAGCCATTTTTCCAGGAAAAATCTATCGCCTACAACTCATATCGCCCGAGATGGCACGCCGCAAAAAGAAGCAGGAAGATGTGGGCCGTTTTTCTAGCGTGTTAATCGTCCAGTTTAGTGCTTCATCCCCTCGAAGCTGTCGATCAGCCTGAGCGAGACTGCTCGGCGCAGCCTGCAGCCGGAAGTCTTCGAGAATGTCGACGTGAGAATTGTTTGTCAGATCGGTTCTGGTTGATTAGCGGGGGGTACCTAACCTGGATTATTCAGCCTAGCCCATTAATAAGAAGATACATAATTCTTATAGTATTTTTAGTAATTTCCGATTACGAAAAAGCTACTCTAGCATTTTTAGAAAAATTTCCATTTGTTTCCATACATTTGGTACAAAAAGTCAGCATTTTTTCGACGATTTTGGTACCTTTTAAGATCTTCTATAAAACGAGAGTAAAGTGCTATTAAAATGGAGCAGGAACTGGTTTAAATTACCTCCCCTCCCCCTGGTAATGAACCAGCACCCTGTATTCAGCCGTCCTCCGGAGCCACAACCACTGCAGCTCCAAGCGAGCCCGTTCTGCCCCCGCTGGCTTGCGGCGGGAACCGTTTGTGGCAATATGACGGCGATATTTTGGTAAGGTATACGCGATTCCGGGAGATTACTTTGTAGGAACAATACACGGTCAGCTCGGGGACTGGCGACTACGAGTCGCTGGTGAACAAATCGACGACCACAAAATCCGCCGATCGTGAGGAAGTGACGATGGCTGAGGTTTTTTTATCAATTAATAGACTTGATTTTCTGGGATTTAGGTGAAATCCGTTCGAATGGAATACGAGGCGATGGGAGGCGGATTGGGACCCCCGGTATGGTTTTACCAGGCTTTTTATGACGTTCGAATTATATAAATTTCCTGAATTAAACCGCTTAAAGAGTGGCTAAGTGGCCAAAAGCGCCAACTTCATGATGTATTCTAGGCGGCGTTTGTTGAGGAACACGAATTCATCGAGGCGATGGACGCCAAGGTGCCGGAGGGATCCTGTGAGATGGTATCTCGCCCCGAAAGCAATCACCTAAAACATTTCTAGCGTAAACTTTCTTTGATCGGCGCCGAGGAGCAGAACTTCATCACAAAGGTGTTTCGCGAAAACTTTCGAAAACCGTTTTTTTTGCCAGTTAATGGACGAGACGATGCGCAAGTTCGGCAGAGCGGGCAGATCGGACCTGCAGCTACAGGTAGCGAAATCCCTGAAGTTGTGGTGTTAACGACGAAGTGTTTAGTTCTCGGTGACGAAAACGGGAGGCATTCCGTGCTTGCAGATGAGTGCCGTGAAGCGCCAGAATTAGAATTAAGAGGACGACGGCGGATACGATTGACCCTCGATTTACGCATTAATAAATTTGGTTATTGCACTTGACGAGCATGCCGAAGTCTCTGTAGCTGAATCTTGTAGAAGCTGAAGCCGGTGTCCAGCCGTTACATTGTGCACTTCACACAGTGTATAAATACAAAAAACATCAACGGATTTATTCAATTAATTAAGAAAAGATTATTCTTTCTTTCACATCAAGCAAGTTTTTGGAGCAGCTTGTAGAACTTCTGGCGGAACGCGGCATGCTTATCACCCGATTTTGCCTGAAAAAGCGCTCATCTTTCGTCGGCCTGGATTTCCCACCTTGATGTAGTCGAGCACGGTGCTGTAGATGAACAGATACTGCGGCGCAGTCTGGACGGCACCGGCACGGCAATTCCGCACCTCCTTGAAGACGTCGAGCGTCATGACCTCTTTACCCTTCAAGAGCCGCGTGGCGATCATGTCGATGGCGATGAGAGTGCCAGTACGACCGATTCCGGCTGAACAGTGGACTACCGTAGTTCCCGAGCCGCTTTCCTAAAAAATGGATAGTTAGAAATAGCATATACTTGTTCATCTACCTTCATCAACCGCAAAATGCTAATGGCGGAGTGCCCGGAAGAGGCGGCGCTCTGATCGGCCCATCCTGGGCAGTGGATCAGCTTGATGACGTTCGAGTTCGAGCACCCATCCGGCAGCACTTCCAGCGTGTAGATGGTCAGGCCCTTCGATTTCGGGTCGGTTTCGACCTTCTTGTTGTTGACGAACATTTTGCCGTAGTTCTTGAAGTCGGCCACTTTCGCTGGCCAGTACTCGTTGAAGCCACTGCCGTTCGCTTCGGCAGCTAGGCCCAGACAGATGATGCTGGTGGCATTCTCCTGAAAATGGGAATGTCTGTCTCGCTCTCTCTCTCTCTCTCTCGTTACCTGAAACGTCATCCTCCAAAAGTCTTCGATAGTGCCTGGCAGTGGCCCTTGAGTGGCGATGTATTTCCGCTCCAGATCGTCGGCCATCACCCAGTTTGCGTGGATATAATCGCCGTCAGCCGATGTGTAATTGCCATAGTCATTTCGGAGAACGACACGTGTCGAGTCGAGACAAAGCACGTCCTAGAGAATCGGCTTCAAAAAATCATCGTAAATTCCCACCTTGAATCTGTTCTTCTCCGGATATTTGTTGGCGACTTCACATTTCACATCGGATGGCAGGTAGGCCTTGTTGGCGTCGAATTCCTCCAGCATCCCCGTCGGTCCAAGCTACAACGTATGATTGTTGTAAACTCGGAAGCGTACGTAGTCTCCCAACGGACCCCTAACATTTGTATGTCGGCCCTTTATGCTACAGGGACGTAAAGTATACCAAAATGTTCGTTTGGATCTGGCGAGTAAAAATACATTAAATTCCAGTCGAAAAAGTTACGGAAGCTATACTAGATTGGCGGGCGAGTGAACTTAACCATACCTTCTCCATATGCTGGACAAACTTGTCGAGGGCTGCAACGACTTCGGGGGCAAGCTTGGGCGGCGGGGCCCGCTTTTGCTGTTCGCAGGAGCCGGCGGTTCTCTTGCCACTGCGTCCCGAAGCTCGCTGGCTTGGCCCATGGTGTTGCGTCTCGTCATCGCCCCCCGTCTCAGCCGACATGCGCTGTCGATGTTTGACTGCTTTCTGCGACTTGCCCTTCGATTCTGCAGCATCGTTCTTCTCGGTCTGGTTCACGGAGCTGGAAAAGATGGTAAGGGAGCGCGAACTTCCAGGCTAAACTCTATATCTCGGCTCCCCCTTATCCTACAGGGCTGTAATTTATACCAAAATTCTCGCGAAACCAAGACGAGCATTTTGGCATACCTCGCATCCCTACACGCCAAAGGGGACCCGAGATACAAACAAAAACCCACGATTTATTGCGCAGCACGCGCTTTGTACCCGGACTTGGTGGGGCCATGTAAAACGTTAATAGAAATTGAGCGTATAAAAGGCGAATATGCGGAATAATGTCTTTGGCGGCAGAGCGATTGTTTATGTTCCAGGAACCCAGGCAAATCAGCTTCCGCTTTTGACAGACCGGATATGCCAGTTGGCCAAAAGGGAAAGTGTGTACACTGGCAGGGTCTTGCTGTGTATTGAGGTTTTGCTCAAGCGATTTCTTAGTTTTATTACAAATGCCGTTTATTTCGGCGGGATCAACCACGCCGGGGCAGAGTTTCGTGGTTATTTGCATCGGCCGCACGTCTTCGGGCACTGCTCGGTCATCAGTTCGTAGTAGTCCTGTAAAATACAGTTCGTCTTTTCCGAAGAAATGGGATACCGGGTTATTACAGTAGTTTGCCATACGCGGGCAGTCCGAGTAGCCGGTCAGCGGGTTGATCTTGTCAACGCATTGTCCAGGTTCTAGAATTTGGGTAGACTTCGAAAAGTTCGAAAAAAGTAGAAATCCTCATTGAATTTTTGATGTTAGAATTGAGTTTTTTTTGGTTTAAATTCATTCTCAAGATTTATTCTCAAACCCACGTAGTGTTGTGCCAGCCCCACACAGACCGCACGTCTTCGGGCATTGGTCAGCCATCACGTCTTTGTAGGCCTAAAAACGCTGATTTTTCCCGAAAAATTGTTTTTACCGGATTGTTGCAGTAGTTGGCCATTTTCGGGCAATCCGACACGCCGGTTTGCGGGTTGACCTTGTCCTGGCACGAGGCGGTGACCGGCTTGTCGGTGGGGTACAGCGTCGTCCCATCTGGGCGGGAGCTGCTCAGTTTACAAGCTATTTAATACCGGAGTGCACATCATGGAAGTTGCAGCAGCTGACATTGTCGAAGCACACGGCATCCTGGTCGCATCCCAGCTCGCAGGCTAAACAACATGAAACACTACCGGTAAACCTACGGCCCGTCGGCTTGTCGCAGGTGAGGGTGGCGTAGATCGCGCCGCAGAGGGCAACGGCTAGGATAAACCTGAGCATCCGGACCGGTTTCGTGAGTCCATTCGGATAAGGGGCGCTTTTAAAACATCGGCTCATTGAATTTGCAAACGAGGGCCCGACTTCGGCCAGGCGCGCGCCCCCAAAAAGTGCCGTTGGCCGGTGTGTACACAGCCGGCCGCTGATTAGCATATTCGGAGACCAGTCAGGTGTCGCGCCAAAATTCACGCAATTTTATCTGAGCACTTTCAACATCAACCAGCAGTGAATTGTGAGATCGCCAAAAAGAGACCGGATCAGTGATGATCGAATAAAAGACAATAAATGAGCAAATGGGCAGGGGGAGGGGTAGAAGCGCTGAGCGTTGCCGGGCAGTATCACAGTTCGAAAACGAATGCGTGGAGAAGCACAAAAAGTGCGCGAAAATTAAATACAAAAAACTATGTATTTAATTGGTGTGCAGAAGACGACTGCTGGTGACGCCGGTATCGGCCACGACGATGAGTCGCATCTCGGATTCGTTGACTCGAATGGCGCGGATGGCCGCCACTTGGCCGAATTCGGGGATCGTCTGGTAGATCTAAAAACGGAAATCAGTCGTTTTATAGCGGAAATCTCACGTCTGGGCGTCTACCGCTCCAATCGTGAACGGCGATCCGCTTCAGGTCCGTCTCGTACATCACCGACACATCAGAGTCGGCAAAACGGAAGAGGCACGGCGAGATCAGGTAGGGAAGGCTCAGCGACTTCGTGGAGAAGCGGCCGACTTCGACGCATTTGAGCTGAAACTTTGGATATTTGGCAGTCGATTTCCAGGCGCAGTTACGAAAATACTCTTGGAAAATTACTTTTTCGATTTTTCAAAATCCATTTTTTTCGAGGTTAAATATTGGAAGCCAAAAATTTTCGAAAAACTTTCTAAAAATCAGAATCTTCACAAATTTTTGCCTAGCTACCGCCGTGAAAAGACGAAGGCATCAAAATCAAAATCTTTTGAAATTCTAGTTTTTAAAAATATGCTCTTTGAAAAAATTATTTCCCCAGCCTGAAAAGTAACTTCAGCAGTATTTTTCACTTTTCCAATCCCAATATTTCAGGTTCCCAAATTAGTGCCCCCCAAATCAACAGTCCTTTGTTTTGAAAAAGGCACTACCAATTCCGGTCTCTGTTTCTCCTCTAGCCCGTTCCCCAGCAACTAACTAACTGACAGCTGACCTAGGGAAACCAGAAAAGCGAGAGCTGTGCGCGCGGGGAAAACGGGGGTAAAGTCAGCAGCAATAACTGTCAATGAATTTGCGAACGCCAATGACAACGCCGTCGGGTGCGCGAACCATATATAAGGGCCGCGCGTGCCCATTGTGGCACCACCAACCGGCAGACATGGAGGACGAAATTAAGATTAGGGTGTATCGCTTCGTCGCGTATTCGGGGGTGTTTTTCTCCCTGGTGGCTGTCATGTCCATCTTCGCCACCTTACCCATGGTATATTCTATTTGCTAATGGAACGCCTAAAAATTCAGATTGCCTAAATTCAGAATTCATAAATTTAATAATGTCTAAATTTCAAACTATAAGCTTATGCGTTATGAAATTTAGAAATTCGGCGTTTTGGCATTCTGAATTTACGCATTGTCTAAATATTCCGTTAACGCTTCTAAATCCCGTTTAGGTGTACGAATACGTGCACCAGGTGAAGCGTGACATCAACTTCGCCGTCAACGACTGCAAGACGACGGCAAAGGACATCTGGAGCGACGTGAACACCCTTGGAGAGATGCCGCACAACCGCACGGCACGCCAGTCCTACAACCAAGGGCCCAGCGGAGGCGGCGGCGGTGGCAGCAGCTACAGCGGCCCGTCGGCAGCCGTGTCTGGAGGAGCCGCTCAATCTTCTGGAGGTGGGCCATTTGAAGCCGGTGCTTTGTCATTATCGGGGGGGCAGATCCCATCCGATAATGCAGGTATATCGACAATCGACCTATCGTCAATTTAGGCGGCGGCTGTGGACCATGCTGCAAACCTGGGCCTCCCGGACCATCGGGATCTCCCGGAAAGCCTGGACGCCCTGGAAAGCACGGCGCCCCCGGAATGCACGGCACGCCCGGAAAGTCTGGCAGCGCCCCCTGCGAGCCCCTCACCCCACCGCCATGCCAGCCTTGCCCTCCAGGGCCCCCTGGACCTCCCGGACCCGCCGGACCGGCTGGACCCGGTGGAAACGATGGTGCCCCCGGAGGACCCGGATCTCAGGGACCCCCTGGACCCCCAGGACCCGCCGGTCAACCCGGACAGCCCGGAAACCCCGGACAGGATGGACAGCCTGGTGGACCCGGACAGCCTGGAGCTTCTCAGGTAAGCAATCATCCCACTATCATTCCGTCAAATCATATGTCTCAGACGGTTTAAACCCCGATTTAAAATAAAAAATAGTTTTGCAATACAGGACTCTGGACCTGGCGCGCCCGGACCGGCCGGACCTCCCGGACCTGCTGGACCACCCGGACAAGACGGACAGAGCTCGCAGGGAGGACAAGGAGCCCCTGGACCGGCTGGACCCCCCGGTTCCGACGGAAACCCTGGATCCCCAGGACAGCCCGGAAACGATGGAGGAGCCGGAGAGAAAGGTGGGCTAGTCGCTTCCAGGGTCAATGCGACTTCTAGGTATCTGCCCCAAATACTGCGCTATCGACGGCGGCATCTTCTTCGAGGACGGCACCCGGCGTCGCTAAGGAAATCGGGGAAACCTATCTGTATATCGATGCGGATAAACGAATGCATAAAAATATAGAACCCCGAATTTTCAGCAACACGAGATAGTTAAAAAAAATGCCGTACCGTAGGTCCTTCCTCTCGGATGTGGTAGAGGCGGTGCTCAATCGGACGCTGTCCATCCCCATCGGGGAGCACAACAAGGATCTTCTGGCTGCTCGGATCAGAGGCGACGGCACTTATTTTTTGGAAATTATCTAGGCGAAAAGGTCAAAACGAAATATGTGAAATTACCTTTGGCATTGTCCAAGAGGGGGATCGTGGCTCCACGATAATAGCCAAGTACCCTACGCATCGATCCGATGAGCAGCAGAGAGAACTTGTCAAAATAGCTAAAAGAAATTAAATTACTCATGAATTCAATAAGATTCCGACCTCAAATGATGGATAGGAAAAGGTCCATCACCACCGGTCAAATCAACTGGACGCTGGTCAGAGGCGGCGGTGACGTCGTATTTGAAGACCCGGCCGTTTCGAAGACCAATGGCGCACTAAAGGAAGACTTTCATAATTTGAAGGAAAAGTAAAACCTCGGTGTCGCTCAGCCAACAACAGGTCCAGCCTGGTGTATCGAGCCGGAATGTCTTCACCTTCTGGCTTGTCTGTAAGTCGTAGATGACCGCCGTGTTGTCCTCGCCGACTAAAAGGAAAGAATTACTCAGGCCAAAAAAATACCTGACAAAAGACGAGTCGTTAGAGAGGGACAGATGGCGAATTGGCGAATTTTGCCCGTATGTAACGGGCTATTCGGACCTCTTTTCAGTCGCATGTCTAGCTAAATTAAAAATGTAATGCAACAGAATGCTGAAGTCCATACTATTTGCAGTGAGTATCCGGAGAAGAGCGCCCCTTTCCTGTTGTAGCCGATGTAGACAAATTGATCTACAAGAAAAGAAAAATGATAATCTTCTTCCCACAAACCGTCAAAATCGATCGCACGGCAACCATCGCAAGACATTGCCAACTTGTTGCCCACGGCCAGCTTGAATTTGTAGACCTGGAAGGCCGTGACGGCCGCCGCAGAAGGAGCTTTCGTCAATCTGGCACAAATATTTAACAGTACAAAAAAAAACCCTTACTTTTCCTCTAATTCACGAATCGTGTTGAGATGCCGGGCGACGTCAAGCTCTAATGAAGTGACCATGCGTTTGTATTCATCCCGAGATTTCTTGGTCGACTCCAGCTCGCTGTTGTCTGTTATCTGGAGCAAATTTCCATCACAACCATCTTGAAACGCCAACCTGCACCGTTCGAGCATAGTGCGTGCGAATATCCTTGATGCCCGCTTTGGCTTTGCATTGCGGGCAATGTGGCGCTTTCTCTCCTAAGACGAAATAGAATGGCGAGATTTTGGTTACCTCGTATCCATCGCTCGATACAGCTCTTTCCATAGAAATGACCGCATTTCAGCGAGACCAGGCGGTGATCCCCGTTTGTGGTGTAGCTCTAAACATTTGGATAATTTTAAATAATTGTAGTACGTCAAAGCAAATCGTGCATCCATCGTCGCCATCGCCATCATCGAAGACTTCCACCTTGGCTAAAACGGTTCTGTATTTTAGTATTGACAGGCTGGATCTACCTTTCTTGGGCGACTCGGTTTTTGCACGTTTCGGGGGTCTAGGGCCATCATCGGAGTGGACACTTTCATCATCCGACACGATCACCACCCGGGCCGGGGCTTCACCTGATGATGTCGACGCATTAACGTCTTCTCGCACATCGCTATCGTCCTAATAAAAATATTGATTACAAAAAAAAACTTAAATACGTTTGCTAGAGTGTCGTCGAGCACCGCGCGACGCCGTGGACTCTGCATCACGTAATCATCAAGTGATGCCCTAAAGCTCAAATTCTGAAGACAAGTGTGCAAAACCCACTCGATAACGGCAGCCAAGACACTATCGGCCGCGGTGTCATCGTCAAGGTCAAGCACATCATCATTGTCGCCTAAATCAAAATAAAACTAATAACACGACCATACTGATAAAGCTATCATCTTCGGAACTGCCACCCGGACTCAACTCGTCATCTTCATCTCCCGAAAAGATTTCCATAATCTATTCGTGGCGTATTTCAAACTAGAAAGAATATTACGTCAGAATCATCAGCGAGCTGATTGTTGGGAGCACGGGCGCTTCGACGAGTTGGTGGAGGGTGGTTCTAACGACAAATTTTAAAACTTGCACCAATCCTCACCGGCGCGTTGATTCGCCTGGCTTCTTCGGCGGCCGCACGTCGTGGACGCGGCATTCGGCAGCTGCAAAATTTACTTGAGATCAGTCAATAACGATGGAAAGCGCGGGGAAGGGAAAATCAACAAGAATGAATCGAAAATCAACAGCAACAACGAAACCAGCCTGTACACAATCAAAAACTAGAATTAATGAGCTACAAATCAGGCGACAATTTTCAATTGGTCGCCCTTGTATGCCAGTGCCTGATCGATTGCACCGAAACCTTCATCGCCGAGACGAGCTTGGAGTCGTTGGCGCAGCTTATCGACTGTCAACAATCTATTCCCTCCATGCGTGCGCTCATAGGTCAATCCTTCCTCGTTTGAATAAATGCAATCGTCCAATTTCTTGACATGGATCAGCACTATCACGGTTGAAGCACCCAGATGGAGGGCATCGCGACAAGGCTTGCAGCTGCCGTGGAGTATGTGGACCGTTTGCTCGGGATACGGCAAAATCTCCATGTTACGCAGCTCGTCATCACTAAAGCGGCCAGTAGCAGGGACGACTGGGAAGATCTCGACAGTGATAGCTCCATCGGCGGGTCGCGGGTTGAACCTCTTCATAGTGGCGTCCAAGGACAGCAACAGGTGGTCCAACAACATTCCGTTCATCAGCGTGCCTCGGAAGAATCCCTAAAAAGGAGTTTGCTAGGGCGCCTCAAACAAACCTTGTCGTCGATCCCCACATAGATTTTGCCGCCAGCCGTGTTCAGGAAGGCGCATATCGTCTTGGAAAGCGGCTGACGCGTGCGTACCACCTTGCCCTTGTCGATCATCTCGCAATGGTGCGGCAACTCGTCGATGGAAACCGTGGTGTGCATCTTGAACTCGGTGACGCGGTTTTCATGCAGAAGCGAGCATTTTGCATCGCGAATGACGGGCTTCGGTCGCCACATAGTTCTGAAACGGAGGCCATCTTGGTAGTGTTTCTAAGCAGCTGGGGGTCCGACCACCCACCCCGCATCACAAAGTACACTTTTGAACGCGCGCCTTTCCTGTTACCACAGGTCGGCCAATCATAGTAACATTGAGGAAAGAATGCAGCTAGGGACTAAAGCAGATTACCGCATCCGCGCTGAAGAGCAGATTCTGTCGCTTTCAATAATTCTACAAACTTATAAGTTCATTGTAAATATCGACTGTAATAAACGTTATTAAAGAGCGTTGTGTAGGTCGTAAGCATTTATTAAAAATTCACAAGCTTCATTGGCAACGATCCATTGGCTCATCCCTGCGTCAAGCGCTGACGTAGCGCTTGGATCTGTTGATCGAGTTGCTCCTTCAGCTGTAACGAAAAGGCAATTCAGGTATATGAGTTCTCACTGACCTCTACATCGCCTTTGTTCTTGAAGGAGGCGACAACCAACTTCTGCGCGGATAGAAGAAGGTCGTAGATCTCCACATCGATCAGAGTGGCAAGGTGGGAGACGAGCTGCGCGACAAATTTTCCGGAAGCATGTACAGCGATTCCATCTTTTGCGTAAAGATACAGCACCTAAAACCATATCATCATAGAAAAATCTTAGGCTACCGATGAGAGCAGCGCAGCAGCGGGATCGGATTGTTCGTTGACCTGGGCCAACAGCTGAGTCGCGTACACGTTTGTGAGTTCCTCCCTAACAAATGCGCCTTGATGTTTGTTTCGAAATACACCGACCTCGTCTTTTTATCCGGATTCTTGATTCCAAGCTGAAGTACACTTGGCGCGCACAAGTCGAACAAAGCATTGTTGAAGTTCTGCAAAAAAATCAGGCAGGCATGAAAAACCAACCTGCAGATCGTCCTCGCGTAGGCTTGCGTACAGCGCAACTATTGCGTCTTTGATCCGCGAGGGCAGGGCTTCAATGGTCTCTTCTCGTTGCTGAAACAAAACTACTGCTGGTGCAAAACCTACATACCTTCTCTTTCATTTGCCCGACATTTCCGGTGTCGCTAGCAAAGCCAAGCAGCGCATGAGCCAGCTCGGTGCAAAGCGTCTTTTGCAAGTAGGCACGCAGATCGTCACGAATATTGTCTACAGTTTTTTTATGAAGAATAACCAGCGAGGGAGGAGCCGCTTCGCGACTCTCCTCCACTGGACCCCGTCTAGACCCTATGAATCGAGCGCCCTTCCACATAAAGTTAAAAAACCTTCCTGCAACAAACCATTCTTAAAAAAATTCTTCTACGAATTCGACGCCACCTTCTGCAAACACCCAAAGCCATTTGATCCGCTAAGCGGAAAACTATTTCGAGTGCGTTTTTCAACATTATTTTTATTATTTAACCAGCGCCCAAAACCCGGTTCGCGGGCCTTGGGCGCTGGAATGCGGCCTTTGCATGAGAAATTTGACTTCCCGATAGCTCGGGTCCGGCGGACTCCCTTCCCTGTCCCGACCAAACACGCGAGTGCAACTGGCAATAATGAGGAACTTTGTATTTTTTCACTTTATGCAAATGAGCCCTCCCGGACCCCCAAAATTGAATAAAACCGGCTTTAACTTTGTAAACATGTATTTTATCGAAATTTTGAGAACGCCATCGGAAAGAGGAAGGTCGATTCCCTCAAGTGACGGAGAATTGGGGCGTTTTGGACACGGGAAGGGCCTCAAATCTGACCTCGAAACTGACCTCCGCACACACACACAGACAAAGATACGCGACCAAATTATATAAGGTAGGATAACGAGGAAGAAACAAACCGGGAATTTTCTCTAACCCAGTCTCAAACAAGGAAATGTTGGCGTAGAGCTGATTGAGCTGTTGCTCCATCTGCTGGTGGGAACGCTTGTTGGACTGCGCGCTGGATACGGCTTGCGTTGCGACAAGTCTGGCGACGCGATCCCGGATGCTCTGGGAAACCTAAAAAAACGAATTAACGCCTTGATCGCAATGCACCTTATCGATAATTTGCTCAGCGATGCTCTGGATGAGTTCTTCTGGGACACGCTCACTCGATCGAAGCCAGCCTTCCACCTGAAACAGAATACTATGCAGCTGTGTTGAAAATACTTCATCGACATCGAGCGAAAAGCCGGACCCCGTGTTGTCATCCTCGTCTTTTTTGGCATTGCCACGGCCCTTGGCACCTCCGCCTTTTCCCTTCTTCCCTTTGCCCTTTCCACCCTCATCCCACTCATCTTTTTCGGCTGGTTTCTAAGAAACTTCTTGAATTCGAATTGTGTCAAACCGGGGCCGTCTTTTTCTTCTTTTGGTCCATTTTGTCCATTTCTTCACCAGCTCGCTGGTCCAACTAAAACACGGTCATACCCTTCCAAAAAAATAACCGACTTTTTCACTCAACGAATCCACCGCTTTGGCAAGTAGCTCACTCGTGTAAAGGCGAGGCTCGCTCACGAGGAGATCCTGTAATAACGGTTAGTCTCGGGAAAAAAAAATGGCTACCTTATCTCCAGCGGTGATAGCCTCGATGAAAAAGCTCTCATCTTCGGCTTCAAATGGCAGCGAGCTTTTCGACAATTCGGCTGACACATCGACAAAACAGTTTTGAGCAAGTTCATCTAAACAGATTTTGACACAAAATCGCGATACTTACCTTTCAATGCGCTCATCTGGGTGTCAAAAACTTCTTCGGGTACGACGATTGATCCGAGGAATCGAAGTTGCCCGAATTCTTCTTTGGCAAAGGCCGATTTCACCGCCGCTTTCACATCCGAGAGGCCCATTTTCTTCAAATCGGAAAACACTAAAGAGTATTGAATCAAAAAAAGAATCTGCAAGAACTCACATATGTATTCGTTCTGCGCAAACATTCGCCGAATTGCTGCGTTGACCAGTTCACCGTGTAGGTTAGGGATGTATATTGCTGAGGCAGAGGTCCGAGAGCCAACGATTTTACCAGGGACCTAAATAATCTTCATTACCTAGTCCAAATCCCTTCACCTCGCCAGAACTCAACAAGTCGTCCAGCGCCGCGAAAAACCGGTTTGTAGGTAGGGAAACCCTCTGTTGAATATGGGACAAAAGCGTTGCCCTAAGAAATTATCAATATTAAGGAAATTTAGTCGAACTTTACTTTGTGATGGCGCACAGAACAGCCCGTAGTATAAATTTGTGCGCTTCAAGGAAGTCCAAGGTGTATATATTCTCCCCATCGACGGTAAATTCGCCACCTTCTTGCAGCCGATCGAGCAATAATGAGCGCAGCAGTTCCGTGGATAGAGACCAGTCGCGACAGAGAGATGCCTAAAATATAATAAATCTCGAAGAATAAAGCTTTACAATCGATCGAACGCCTTCCTCCGACAAAAGTACACGCAGATCCATTTGTAGCTTGTGGACATAATCCCTGAAAAAAATAGAATAACTGCCGAGTTGCGCTACGGCCAAAAATCCAGCGAATGGTGAAAAACCGACCTCGCGAACAGCTCTCCCGCGCTGATGAGGAACTCGTCATCCTCGGCGATGATGGTTTTCGTAGCCGCGATCACATACTCATAATCCACATTGAGATTTGCAGCCACATCACTTAGGGCCACACGGCCGCCCATCGCCAGGCATTCGTTTTTGACCTGAATAGGTTCGGCAAGCGGCGTTTAGAAACCTCAGTGCAAAGGTGCTTCCGAGTGATGTAGGTAGTTCCGTCACGCGTGAAGACGACATCAATCAACTGACGCTCGATGAGCTTGGAAATTACTTCCACGCAGTTCGCTTCCGATAATCTGAAACGGGATGATCGATTTTTCAGAGCTCACTTCTTAGCAGCAGCCGAAAGCTGAACCCTTTGTAGGTCCGACGCGAGTCGCTTGATCTCATCCCAAGCGCTACTCATCTCACTAGAATGTGGCAGTATAAGAACGTCTCAAACATGCTCTTCTCCAAAAATGTTCGTATGGTGATTAGCCAGATATCGTCGAATAACGGTAGAACCAAACATATTTATTCACCCCGATTCATCACAAATGTTTTTAATATCACAGGTTATTACGTACAAAAGAATTCAGTCACCAATAAAAGCAAAACAATCAAGTCTACGCATCAGTTTCCCGCGATGCATCATGCAATTTGTCCAATAACCCGTTGAGCAGTTCCACCTAAAAAAAGCATACTTCAAAATTTGACCGGCAAACCTCAATTTCATTGTCAGCTGCCAGTGTTTTGAACGCAGTAGCATCTAATGCTAAATCAACCCGATATTGCAAACACAGGATGATGTACCGATTTGATGGCGGATCTTCGACTCGTCGCTATGTCCCCCGTCTTGTAAAATCACCGAATCAAGTTTCTTGAATCTTGAGATCGACGATCCGGTTGCCAGAACCGATTTCAGAACCTATAAAAATTTTTAGACATAAATCAGAATTCACCTCATCGGCCTTTTCTACAAAATATGACAGCGTCTCAGCCAAACTGCCTCGCAACAGCTCGGTCACATCGCCACACCTAAACAAAAGGGAATTGTTGGGGAACATGTTAGCTACCCGGCAGAATGTTCTAGGAAATCGTTGAAGATTCCTTTAGCGGCATCAACATATTCTGAATGTTGTTCAGGCATTGGCTTCTTCGTCCATCGATATTGGCGTGGGACATCAGCAACATGGTCGTATTCCTAATATTTTTTGATGCAAGGAAGGCATCAACATACCTTTTTGAGTAGGGCTTGAAGTAACGTATTAATTTGTAGATCAATGGCCAGACAATCGGCTTTAACTTTTTGGGAATTTTTGGTGAGGCACTGGCCAAAGGGGGCCGTGTCTATGCCGAGTTCTCGTAGCTTCACCCATATTCGCTCCAAGGCCATATCAAAAACCTTCTGGTCCACGAAAGTCAAGTCTTGCCGGATCTAGGCGCACATCAAGTAAATTTTACCAGACAATAGGACTACCTTCAACAATACCTTCCATTTGCTCTCGCCCATAAATTCGGATTCATCCAGTGCCATAATTGTCCTAAAAACCTTTAAACGAAGAGGTAAGCACTTACGAAACCATCGCCTTTCCCCAAGCTTGATGCTTCGCCAGCATTCTGAGTGTAAAATCCCAGTATCTATCCGTAATGCATAACAGGAAAGTCTCGTCAGCCCATACGTTTTGCACCTGCAAGATAAAACTCGCAAGGTTCAACTAGCGTACCGCGTTGAAAATCAAAAGGGATGCCCGGCAATTTAGAGGCACATCATCTTCAAATATTTTCTGCAAAACAGTATAGTATAGAAAATAAGCAAAAAGTCCCTCACCTGCTCGTCAGCAGTCAAGAATCCAAAGCGAGCCGGGTCGATCTCGGCATCAATTTTCTTCGTCGGACTGCTGGTGGTCATTTTGTAATAGACGAGCTAAAGACTGCGATATAAATACTGAAAAGTCTCACACCATCTGGAATTTTGCGCGTAACTGCCTGAGAAGCTCGGAATGAGCCGTCGCCGTTGGCCAAGTCATGATGAAGTCAAGAACCAGGGTGACAAATCCGTGGAACTGTTTGACATCTTCCGGGGTAGTTGGACACAGAATGGCGGCAAAATTCTAAAGAAAATTGACAACAATAAAAACGCTCACCGTTTCAACAAATTTTATCATAAAGGTCAGCAAAGTCTGGTCAATAAATCCCTCGACACCGCCTTGCCAGTGATCGCCAAGTTTTTTCTTCCAATCCGAACGTTGCTGAAAATTCAGGTAAAGTTTATCCGATGGTTTCACCTGATTGACAAAATCGATTGCCTTGACGAGGAACTCCAAAGATTTCCCTTTCTTGACTTGTATCTAAAAAGCAAATATGGCAACGAATCCCCAGCAACCTTTGGGAGCAGCACAGCAGTCACAATTTTCGAAATCAGCTGGTCGACCTGTCCGCAGAGTTGTAAAATCGAAAACAGCATCGGCAAAAGAGCACAGTCGCTGGTCAAGGACAGGATCAACTGTTCGGTGAGCACTGGTTGGATCCGAGCTGTTAGCTAGAGCAAAATAATAAAAGTTTGACATGGCAAACCTTGTTGTAGGCCATATCTTCTTTCGATCCGGGCACCAAATTTTCTCGGAAGCCGGACGTTTCGACAACGGCTGATAGGAATTGCTCTAGCCTAATGAATTGGAAAAAGTCGGTTACGAAAGAAGCCATGCGTACCACAACATATTCAGGGGCGAGGGGGTGTTTGCCAACAAGTAAGCCAGACGTTCCAAAGCCTGGATAAAGACGATACGATCCCGAAGCTTTATTTGCTCGTCCCTGTTTTTCGACAGCTCCTCGCATCTAAATAATTGATAAAGTGTCGGTAGCTATTTCACTAACTTGCTCTCCACCTCATTCGATATCTCGACGGGCGCCTTCGTCGACGTCTTGAAGTCGTCCCACGCCAGCTAAAGAGGGTTCATCAGCCGGGAGCGTGAATTCCTACATTCAAGTCGGCTTCGATCTTGTCAATGCTCTCTTGTAGGGCAACAAGGTTGCTCGAAAGATGGACAAAGTCGGCATAATCATCGTTGATGAGTTCGATCATCCCATTTTGAATGCTCCTCAAATAGGCCCTCAAATCGTTGTGGATCTCCTTGAGCGTCGCCCGACGACGAGCCAGATTCATAAAACTGCAAAACTTGAAAAAATGGCACAAAGCGATACCGTTCTACATTGAAGTCGGCTCGGGTGAAATGTGCCTTGTTGAAGCAGAGTGGCGGCTCGTTTGACACGGCCTGAGAAGGGAACATTTTCGGGCTTTGTGGTGAAGTTGGCTCCACCTGATCCTCCATCTAAAATGGTTCGCATAAAATAGGTACACAAAATCCACTGAAATTTTATCGAAAATTTCTTTTTATTTTTATTTTGGCCGGGGGCGGACACGAGATGAAATGTTGGCAGCTACACGGCGCTCCGAGAGGTGATGGTCGTTCTTTGGAGTTGCCTCACAAATTGGCCCGCCATTCAGAAAATTCGTAAAGTTTTTGAAGATCCGGAGATTCTCTTTTGTTTTTCGTTGTTTTATCTCGTTTTCTCTGTCAATTATTCTTTTTCGTTCATCGCCGACCTTTTTAGGCGCGGGATGTTCCTAGGAAGTGGACAGAGCCCCATGCAAACCAGTGGTGATTCGCCAAGGAGAGATTCAGAGTTTGTATATTTGCTCAATACCCATTTGATATTGTTTTAGATCAAAAGAAGGTCCGGAAGAACCGACGAAGAAGACGCCTTCTTTCCTCTTCGGCGCCCGACGTCGATCCATCGCGGCTACGGGCAACTGTAAACTTGACAATCCGTCTGCTGACTTTTATTTAGACTCCTACGATCCTTACGGTTCTCCACTGCCCGCGCACATCAGGGAGCCGGGTTCCGGAAAGAATGTGCATTGGTCCCCAACCCTCGTCCAAGAGAAGCACATCACCGAGGAGCAGAGTGCTACCAAGCCGACTTCGAGTATGGGAAGCTCTTCTTCTGGGCCGAAAGGTCCGCCTCTCCGTTCCCTCCGCGACAATGTTGAACCGATAACTAAGGTATACCTTGTGCACGGCTGGCGGAAAAAGTGTCTAGGTTCGTCGCATGACAATGCCCGTGAATTTCAACCCTGGCACTCCTTTGCGCCCAGACAACGCCGGCTCGCAGCTTAGCCAACAAACTATCCCCGAGGACTCTGCCTTTGATCTCGATCGTTCTGAAGCTGAAGGTGTTCTTGGGTCGATGCTTTTATATAGATATATTTTTAGCCAGGGAATGTTGGGTGACCGTCTTTGGATTTCTTCCCGGTGATAACAACAAGATAATTACCTACTTTGGGCGCCATGGTGATATTGTCGATCATCGGGTAAGCCATTTATTCGGCCTTCCATTATGTTTTTAGATTCCGGCTCAGGGTAACTGGATGCATCTGTGCTACTCGAGTCCAGTCCATGCAGCGCAAGCAATTTCGAGGAATGGGATTGTCATGGAGGGACATGTGAAAGTCGGCGTGGTTCAGTGCACCGACCGGGTAAGACCGCGATATTTTTCTTTCATTTGCTTTAGGATGTATTATCTTCAACGGCCGATCGTTCCTACGTAAACAGATCCTCCGGTAATATCACGAAGATCCGCGGTCCTGAGTCTTCTAAAGCTGACGTGTATTTTTACTTTGCGCAAATTTTCAATTTGCTTTAGGTCTTACACTCGCGCCTTCTCCAACGTCAACTCGGCCAATGATAGCTTCCTCGATACTTCATTAAAGTAGGCGAAAATCGTTTGCAAATTAATTGCCTATTTAGCAATTCGCGGTATTCAACTCTGGGCAGAAACGGCATGCGACCTCTCGCGATGAATATGTCTACTAACAATGCGAATTACAGTGTAGGTTTTAAACAGCTTCGCGGAAATGCGTTCGTTTAGATGGACTTGGATCAAAGCAAGGATCGCAGTTTCTTCGGAAAGTTGTGGAATCTCGTCGGATAAACGCTCACGATTGTCATTTTCGGATTTGTCGGAATAAACATATTTTATGAACAGGCCAAGGCAATTCAGACGGACAATAATTGGTTGCATACGAAGTCATATTTTATCTTTTGGTTGCACATGCTTTAGTGTGCCGACTATGGTATATTTGTAGGGGTGGATCGATTGCTTGGCTGGTTGGGGTCATCTGGGACTTGCGCGCCTGTGCACCCCATTCATATTACCCCGACAACTGCCGATGGGCTGGTTCTTCTCTATTTTACGAAGGTGTTATGAAGTATTAGTGCGACGATTCTTACCATCCAAAAAGAGCACTGTAACTGTCGAGACTTTAGAGGAGGTACGTTTTTATTTTTTAGCATCCTTAACCTATTTTAGGAAGAATCTAGCGTCAAATGCCTTTCCCCATCGCCAGCTCTAAATGGGGAATCGATCGACCGCACCTCACCAGAACTTCTAAATAGTTCAGAACCCGTCACCAACTTGGTAAATTTATTTATGGTTTTGCTCGTTTTGCACGATATCTCCCTAACATTTTTGAGTATTTGGAAAAAAGCACGCCCACGAGCCCTAGTCGACATAATTTTCTTTCTTAGATTGCTTACAATTAGTTTTTTTTTCAGGATCGCTCAACTGCTGCACTCAACGAGATTGTCGATTCAGCCTCCACCTCCGCTACCCGAACCCTTTCTTTTGTTGGCTATTTTTTGCCCAGCGTTGCCCTGCAAGCCCATGATTTCTTGTCTAGTACGCTAATTTGATAATTTGTATATATCGCTCATGTATAAATGTATAACTTCATGCAAGCTTGTTCCGTTTTTTTTTTGTGTTTATATGCACACATCAAGTTTTCGCAAGCACTTCAATGGTAGTTGAAGCCATTTTCCGAAGCGAAGCCAAGAATTTTTGAATCATCTGCCCTCGCGCGCTTTCTCGCTGTGTTTCGGCAACAGCCCTGTTTTCGCGCACTGTTTCAAAAATCGGCACAAATCCGCTAGTTTCTCGCTGATTTCATTTCGTACGCCTTTCGAAACTGCTATTGAAGTCACAACTTTGAAGGAGACGTCGAGCTTTGCGGAATGGCGACGTCGGTCGACTTTCGCGATGTTTTCATCGAAGACATGGGCACTATCGTGGGTTCCTGGATTCGTTTTATGGATAAATTCATTTAGAACCGTGGATCTTTGCGGTTGACAGATCAACACATCAAATTTCACAATGACCATACGGGAAACATTGTAACGATGCATGTCAACGAGCTCAAGAAGGTGACCTGGCAACGCCTCGCTAACAAGCCTGGCGCCAAATTTGTCTTCGACGATGGGAAGAGGTACAGGATCGGTGGCTTCAAAGAAACGGTAAGCTTAGTTTTTCGCTTTTTACGCCTTGTCTAGGATTTCGACCAGTTCAAGGCGTTTGCCCAAGAAAATTGGCAGAAAGATGTCGAGAAAACCGAACTGGCTTTGAAGGGCTGGAATTATGGAGAGTGTACCGTTGCCGGCCAATCCGTTGAATTTTCGGTGGACGGGAAACTCTGTTTTGAGGTATAATATTTCGGGACCATGACATTTCAGCAAATCGCCAAAACGACATTTCAGCAACTCGGCGACTTTTGAGCAATTCCATTAAAACGACATTTCAGCAACTTGGATCATAAAAAAAGAGAAACACACAATAAATATGCTTTTCGAAGTTTTTCTCGTGTTTTGGACGGCTTTTGAACAATTTTCGGTTTCTGAAACCATAAATGATTACCCGGTCGCTGTATTATCGCCTGTTTTTGACCTTTTCGCCTGCCATGGTGCGTTGCTTGCGGCCGTGCTTTCTTCGCCATACGCATAGCGTTTCCGCGCTTTTTACCGGAAAGCCACTGTCGACGTGCGCACTATAACCTCGAAAAAGAATATTTCTTCTGTGTTTCTCTTTTTTATGGTCAAAGTTGCTGAAATGTCGTTTTAATGGAGTTGCTGAAAAGTCGCCGAGTTGCTGAAATGTCGTTTTGGCGATTTGCTGAAATGTCATGGTCCCAAGATTTCTTATTGTGACGATTCTGGGATTTTATTTAGGTCCCACTTTCGAACGTCTCAAATACGATCGCGAATAAAAATGAAGCTGTTCTTGAATTTCACCAAAATGAAGATTGTGCGATCGCCCTTACTGAGATGCGCTTCCATATGCCGTCGAACGAAGAGGATATGTATGATGCCGTTGACGTATGGTCGAGATCTAAATAGCAACTTTTGTTTTAGGAATTCCGACAAGCTGTGCTCAAGTATGCCGGCATTGAGACCGACTCCGGACAAGCCATTGTCACACTCAGCCAAATCCTCGCAACTACTCCACGGTATCTAGCCGACAACGTCCGAGCATGCAATCTCTTTTTAGTGGTCGCTACGACATCAAGGTCTACCCGAACCATTTGTCTCTCCACGGCAAGACCTACGATTATAAAATCCCCATCAAGACGATTCAAAGACTCTTCTTGGTCCCACACAAAGATGGCCGGCACATGTATTTTGTGGTAAGGAACGAAGCCCCTCTTCGAATTCCCCTGGTTTAGTGTGCTTTATCGCCTCCGATCCGTCAGGGACAGACGCGCTATCATTACCTTGTCTTCGAGTTCGTCCGTGATGATGAGACTGAGATCGAGTTGGGATTGACAGAGTAACCTACTATACTTCTGTCTTTTGAGAAACAATCGTTTAGGGAACAGGTGAAGGAACAGTTCGGCGAGAAGCTGCAACGAAACTTGGAGGGCCCCGTCTACGAAATTGTCTGCAAGCTCTTCCGCGTGCTCGTCGGCATGAAGGTGACAACTCCAGGGAAATTTGTCGGGTATTTTTTTTCTTTTGTGCATTACTCCCTTCGCTTTAGGCACAGTGGTACACCTGCGATTGTATGCGCCCACAAGCAGGCGTCCGGGTTCCTATATCCGCTTGAAAAGGGCTTCCTCTACATCCACAAGCCGCCCATGTACATCCGTTTTGAAGAGGTTGAGTTTTCAAATAGTTTTATTTTTGTTTCAGTGCGCATCGGTGCATTTTGCTCGCTCTGACATCTCGACGCGTTCCTTCGACTTTGAAGTGGAGATGAAGGGCGGCTCCACCAATGTATTCAACAGTGTCGAAAAGTAATTAAAAAAGCAGTTGCGGCTATTTTTGGATTTTAGGGAAGAATACAGCAAACTTTATGACTATGTGCAAAGCAAAGGCCTTCGCATCCGTAACGCCAAGAAAGCGGTGAGCATTGCAGTCTCTTTTGATATTTTTTATTTAGGAAGCTCGCAACACGGATATGTTTGATGACAGCGATGAAGACCACGACCCCTACAAGGAACATGTCAAGAAGGAGGGCAAAGATCGTCAGGCCGAAAGAGCTGGTGCTACAGGAGGGGATGAGGAATCCGACCCCGAAGACGGTAGGTGTCAGGAGAATATCACAATTGTCTCTAGATGACTACGATCTTGACATTGATTTGGCAAGACGCCGCAAGGAGCGCGAGGAGAATTCGTCCGAAGGCGACGAAAGTGAGCCGACCGAGGAGTTTGACTCATCCGGCTCTGATGTCGTCAAGGAGAGCGATATGGACGAGGACGAGGACGCGAAGAAGGAGCGAAAGGAAAAGGTATTTTTCTGGCTCTTCGTCACGTCCCCTTGTAGAAGAAGCTGAAGGCAGAGAAGAGGAAGGAGAAGCGCGAAAAAGACGGTGACGAATCCAAGGGACGTAAGAAACGCGCGAAGAAGGACCCTAATGCTCCTAAGCGATATCAGAGTGCCTACATGATCTGGCTCAACGAAAATAGGTCGACTATTAAGAAGGTAAGCGTTTTTTTATCCGCAAAAACATTCGTTCAGGACGGTGATACTGTTGCCGATACAGCGAAACGTGGTGGCGAGCTTTGGAAGGCTATGACCGAAGACGATAAGAAGCAGTGGGAGGAAAAGTCTGCTAAGGATAAGGTAATTTTCTCTCATCATTTGGAACACTTCTTTAGACACGTTATGAAGCGGAAATGGCAGAATGGAAGAAAAGTGGTGGCAGCACTGTCAGGTCTTCAACTCCTACTAAATCGAGCAAGCCCAGTTCGAAGTGAGTCAGGTTTTGATGAATTACCCCTTTTCTTAGACTACCCACCAAGTCGCCGAACAAGCAAGCCAAATCGCGTGAATTTTTGGAGACGTCCTCTGATTCTGACGCTCCAGAGGACGGCGAGAAGAAGAAGAAAAAGAAGAAGCAGGAAAAGGCCAAGGTAATTGACGAGCTTTATCGACGTTGTATTTTGTGAGCATTTCGTAGTCGGTTCAATTTTCTATTTAAGGGAAATTTGTGATTAAGCTCTAAGCGTTTTGTTAATGGCGCGGCCTGTGATGGTCGGTTGATCCGGACGAGTGGCTCACTGGAATATCCGTGTTTTTACAGTGGCTACGGACCAACCTTTGTGTTGGTAGTACTGCCCTTCTTCTTTGGGCTTTTGCCCTTCTTGCTCCGTTGACTCTTCTTGCCGCTCCGGCCACTTGCATTCCGAGCTCCTCCTCCGCCTTCCTTGTGCTTCTTCCCACTGTCGCTTCCGGTCCGCTTCTTGTGGTGCTTTTTCCTGAAAGATGCTTGGGAAGAACTAGGAAAACTGTTACTTGTCTGAGTCGCTTTCCCCGTCAGACTCCTCAACGTCCTCATCGCTTGCTGCCGGCTTCTTGTCGTTGTTTTTCATTTTTGGCTAAAAATCAAAACCATAAGCGTCACCCCTTTTGGCAAAGCGACAAAAACTTATTGCAAGGCTCTCTAGAATTTTCCAAACCGACCTCTCCGATCCATTTCGGGTTCACCCAGTTCGGATCCTGATCGAGTTTGGATTCTTTGGCGATATCGTCCATTTGTTGCTAAACTCTTTGCTAGGCAGAAGCTTTGTGGCTCACTCGGATCACGTAGTAGTCGGGGGTTTGGGAGAAGGCCAGCTCATCAATGTACTTCATCACCTGATGGAAGTTTTTGAAGACCTTCTTCAGCGCCTTGTCTAAAATATCCTCGATGATTTTTTTGTAAAGCCCTACTCTTTGGGCTGCACTTGAACAACTCGCACTTGATCGGGTACACCTGGTCCTTGTCGCGGAGGTGTTTCCAGGGGAAGTTTTGATGATCGCAGAGGTCGATGACCATGTAGCACCACGTCTTTAAAGTTGTTTAGGATCATTTACTAAAAAGCTATCATCGTCTAGTATATTTTCTTACCAATTAGCTAAACCATAGGCTCAAGGGCAAAAAGCCCCCCCCCCGGCTAACAGATAATTGCCCAATTTCCTATTACCTCCAGGTCATCCTTCCTTGATTGCTCAACTCCCTCGTGGCAGCGCCTCGACGCGAAGCCTACAGTGCCTACGAATTTTGTCTTCTCCCGTGGCGGCCTAAAAACGCAGCTTATTCCCAATATATTTTTATACTTGTGCTCTCCTTCAGGCGTCAGAAATTTTCGCGAAATTCCAAAGTCGAGCAGGTAGATGGTTGACCGATTCTCGTCCACTCCGATCGCAAAGTTGGCCGGTTTAATATCGCTAAAACGGGGATGGTTTAGAGATACTTTAGTTACCGATGAATGTAACCGATGCCGTGCAGATCAGCTATTCCCTCCAATGTTTCGACGGCGATACGCCATGCGGCATCTTTGCTAAAGCGCAGCGTGTCAATAAAAAAAGGCCTTACCTGAATTCAGCACTTGGGATTTTCTTGCGCAAATCAAAGATCGACGGGCCAACTAGGGCCATAACCATGAATCGCATCTCGTTGAAGCGGCCACTGTCGTAGAATGGGACAAAGTGCGACTTCAATTTGGGGTCTGATACCTAAAACGGATATTCATCGCTCCGGCTTCTTATCCCACCTCTGTTGCCAACTTTAAAATTTCACATTCGATCTTCAGGCGGAGCAGTTTGCGGTCGACAGAGTCTTTGTGATATTCTGTTTTGACGGCATAAATCTGGAGCACGAGAGCCTTTCTCCAAATTTTGTAGTCTTACCTTTTTGGAGGAATCTTTGACCCGGTAGACATCGCCAAAGCCGCCCGAGCCGAGCAACTCGATGACCTCATATTTGCACAATTGCGACTCGATAATGTATCCGGGCTTTAGCTTTTCACGGTGGTTGACCAGGAACTGGCGCTTGAGTTGCTTCTTGTGCCCGTGGTGCTTGCCACTGTCCTGTGTCCGCTAAAATTGAAAAACGGCTTCCAAAATGGTACAGACATCCAGGCCCATCCGGCTGGTGGAGACGCGGCATCAAAATGTCACCCTTGCCAGATGACTTAGGAAATGGTTTTATCATATTCATCAAACCTGAGATGTTAATACAATGTCAGAACCGAAAATTTCTTTTTCAGGAATCCAACGCCGAATCTGGATCTCCCAATGGCTCGTCTTCATCAGCCCTCTCCTCGGATTCTGATGCTTAGAAATTTGAACAGACTTTGAAATTTTGTTTCCCCCCTTTTTCATGTTTCTCACTTTCCGGTTGATTTCCCGTGTTACCTGGGTCCTGCGTATCTCATGGCAATTCAGCAGCCAGGCTGAACAATAAACGTTCTATTCTTGCCAAGCCATTACGTACTATGCGCGAAATACGGCACGGATATCCCCAGAAACAGACAATGTTGGTTACCGAAAAGATTTTTAGGAATGCACGATGGGGGGCGGTTCGGAAACAAATGTGGGTATTGACCGCTTAGATTTTCTCATCTGTATCCTTTCAGTGCAGCACGTGACCAGACATCTGGTCTTCCATTGCAAGAAGACTGTGATCCGTTTTGGGCAACGTCGACTAAAGAAGTGGACAAAATTTCCAATCGAACGGGCAAGAACGGCACTTCAGATCGCCGAGGAAGCCAGCGCCATCCCCAGCTTCGAGCTACAAAGCATGTAAAGCACCCCGCTAACAATCTAATTCTGCTTTAGAGGGTACCTTGCGGCAGACCATGAAATACTTTCGCACGCCCTATCCTCGGTCGCCCCGCTGAGCCCCCCGCAACTCTCGCTGCACAAGTCCCCGTCGGCCTCTACAACTGAGCAGCAACCGAAAACCCGGCTGACTGACTTGCCGGAACAGTGTATTTTCCAAATTGTTCACTACCTCGATGGTAACTTTAAATATTTAATTTAATTTTTATTTTATGGGACGTACAATGGTTTCGCTGACTGGCACCTGTCAATTACTACGATCACTACTCACAGCCAACCGTAATGCTATCAGCGGTGAAACCTTGCCTTTAGTGCACCAATACGAAGTGGGTGAGCCTTTAAAATAATGTTCAACTTCGAACTAGGCTCGGGGTTTTGAGATCTTCGTGCAAAGCGGATGCATGGGCTCTGTGACGGTGGTCGCCAAATATGTAAGTGGACTCGTTTTAGTTTATTTTTGTCTAGAAACGTCGATCAATAAGAACGGACTTATGTCGGACTCCTCTCTCCGGTCGATCGTTATCCGAAATTTTACCTGCAAACCCGCGGATCAAGGTTTTTGCGAAGGTATTTCCTTTCGTGGCTGGGTTTTTGATTTTGGGCCATTTCCGATAACCTTCGGGCCTGGTCTCTGCTTTTCCATGTTCCGGACAGAGCTTGAGCAACTCTACAAGCGCGGCCAATTGATCCCCACTGATTTGACATTTGGCGGCGGCGAGTTTACGCGAGGTATTTGTCTTTTCATTTTTCTATCCGATTTAGGTAAAAGCTACGCTGGAGTGGATTTGCGCTGTTTCACCGAGGCGGCCTTCATTCGATACATCTCCCAGTTTTCACCTACCCTCAACTCGGTACATCTGCAGACCACCAGGTATGGTTTCTAGCCGGAAAAATGGTTTGCAGACATTTCAAGATGAGTGCATCTCCACCCCGTCTACTCGCCCTGCTCGCTAATGTCCGGGAATTTGGTTACGTCTATGAAAGGCCGGCACTCAAATACTACTTTGATGACTTTAAGAAAATTGTCGAGGTAGACTTTTTTTGTTCTTCAGTCAAGCGCATCGGAAATCGTTGGCTGAACGCCCGCGCATGACACCCTTGTCAACTCAACCGTTGATTTAGGGGTGGCGACACGATTCCCTTTCACATGCAACCATCCTGTACATCAGGCGGCCGACTGATCTGCCCCAGCGCTACCTGGAATTGTCGCCGTCCAGGGTAATTTTTTTGCTTATTTGAACAGGAATGGAAAAATGGCTCGGTGCTTCCAGGTTATCGGGGGTCGATTATTTTAGCGGGGGTCGGTTGCGAACATTTTTTTCTTTAATAGTGGTCGGCTAATTAAAAGCTGGGCGTTTTTACAGATTTGTGCGCCGTTTGAAATGGTTCTGGACTGTTAGCGGGGGAGGACCCATTAAGAAAAACTTCACAAAACATGTTGAAAAATTTTTTCTTTTTCGGTCTAACGTATATGAAAATGGCTAAAACCGCGCTCAAGCCCTAGATTTTGTGTCTATAGGATAAATATTTTTATAATTTTTGCTATCGGAAGCTACTAAAAACAGTATTAAAATAAACTACAATTTACCACTAGGCAGGTATAGGCTAAACAAAAAGAAGATGCCAACCGACCCCCGATAACCTGGAAGCACCAATGGCTCTTAAGCCTACCTTCCTTACACTCTAAAAATCCTTGTCTTAGGTCCTATTCGCGGCTGATGGCACACTACAACAACTTGTTTTTGCACACCAATCGTTACTCGGCGAAGAGTTTACTGTGTATTTTTAGTCTTTTTTGTGTCTCTTGATGTCCGAGATTGCGCTTAATAATCGGGATTTCTCTGTGAATTACACTGTGATTACTTACTGCACTTGTCCCCCTGCATAAAGATGTCGAATTGAAGTTTTGTTGATTTCCCGCAGTTAGCAGCTGTTTGTATATCGTAGCTATTGTAGGTGAAACGTAGATGGTAGATCACCGCAACCAGCTTTCGAAACGTTTTAATTTTCCGGTGTTAAAGGGACTGAGAAGTCCCGAAAAGGGCTTGTACATCTCGGTTATCCCTAAAAAGCCTTTTTTGTTTTACTGCTTCTCAAGCACGTAAAGATTGAATTGAGGGTCTATTTTCAAAAAAAGTGGCATTTACGGGGGTGGGACTTTCCAGGCTGCCCGATTTTATGCGAGCGTCAAGTTATGAGGATTCAAGCTCCCCCTCAGCACACAATATTGCTCCCAGCCTAAGTATTCTGAACTCGCCCCATCAAGAACGCCCCGACCACTTGACAAAATCCTTTCTATCCCGTCGTCGCCACCACCATTCCCACCCTAATGTGCGAGGGACTGGACGGGGGTGAGGGACGACACCAGGGCAAGGGCCGAGGCGGCTCCGCCCCCCCTCGCCAGTCATCCTTGTGAGCCGAGCCCGTAGATCGGGGGTGGACGGCCTCATTTTCGATGTGCCCCCCGAGCCCCTACAGCTAATTCCCGTACAGGTTTCATGCCCCGGGGTTTGGTTGACGTCGGCGCCGCTCTGTCGATAGCCGGCGCAGCAGTATCCTGTGAACCTCCTGCATCCCCGCGACAAAACCACCGCTTTGCCTGTTCGGAGTCTTATCTTGGAAGCTGCTACCAAACAAGCCGGTGATGACTCAAGCCCAGCGGCTCTCTCTCTCTCTCTCTCTCTCTCTCTCTCTGTCACCAATTTTCATTATGGTCATTAAGTTTAAGAAATATCATATTCTTCTTTTAGCAACCTCGCTGACCCTTTTCCTTTCCCTACCTAACACCGTGACCTTGCGATCTGGTGGCATTTTATCGCACATGCATGTCCGCTGCCCCCTCACCTTCTCGCGTAGAAATTCCCGCTGCTTATCTTGGAGCTTGGGGCGGCTGGGGGTCGTTTTTGAATTGCTGCGGATACCCATCGCAATAAAACGGCTTTCACGATGTGATGTGCTCATGGAATTCCTGTTTCTCTCTTTTTCTCTCCCTCTTTCTGGCTCCAATTTCGTAGTTTTTTTACAGACTAACCCACGTTATGCTTGAAAAGCCGGTCTCATGAATCGCCGGAAATCCCATCGAAATTTGCTCATATGGGCGCTGGCTATTGCCCAGATGGCCACCGCCCAGCTGATCCGAGGCCAGCCACCGGTCGCCGAAAATCTAGTAACGCCCCGGCGCATCAAAGTGAGATTTGGCACCATGACGCATATTTCTGTTTAGGTGAATGAAGGCGCGGCTTTTGAGCTGTCATGCCCGACCATGGACGAAGACGTCGAATATTTCTGGTTAAAAGACGATCAAGACATTGGCGCCAGTAAAAAGGTACATAGAAGTCCTATTCGAAAGTCTAGCCTAATTTTCCAGCTTTTCCACATCGTATCCGCGTCGAGCGACCACGCCGGGATCTATCATTGCGTGGCGCGAAACGCTTTTGGCGCCGCAATTAGCCGAACGTACCTTGTCGACGTGCAGTGTAAGTGGCAAATGAACTTTCGGACCTTCCTAGCAAATTGGAACATGTGTTCGTCTGGTACCTACTTCCACCACTTTGGTTACCTAACCTCTTTTGGCGCCGCGCCCCAACTCGACGACCCCAACCCAGCTGGGGCATTTAGGGCCACTAATGGCCGGGCGCTCTCCATTAAGCTGTCTTTGGGCACTCTCATCGCACCCCGGGGGCAAGACCCCCACAGCGACTGTCTCCCCGCTCCCGCGTCCGGCTCGCCCTAGAGCCGGACGAAAAAGGCGAATGGGGGGCGTCTCTCGTCAAATATTTGTGTATCGTTCGGCGCCGAGCCTCGTAACCGAGATACAAACGGTCTTCTTTCTGGAGGGGGCCCAGGCAGATGGGGGGATACCGTTTCGGACGATTGCAAATGTTTGCGGGGCTTGAAATCAGGAAAGATCACTTTTTCCAAAGACGTGATATGTTGGAGGAAGTGATTTTGTTAAAATTCGTTGTCTAAAAAATTTACTTTTAGACCTCCACGACTTCGCCGACAGCACCGATTCGTCGATCAGCGTCACGGGCAATTCGGCTTTTATTTTGCGGAGGCCCGAGTTGATAGCTGCAAAGTCTGCTCGTCCAACGTTTAGCTGGTATCGCAATGACGTCGAGGTGAGCATTGGAATTTGTTTTTGGTTGAATTGATTTGAAAACTCTGGGATTTATGCTGCTTATTGGAATCGTTGTCTCTTATGTCTTTAGTCCAAAATTTCTTATCTCCTACTCACTATTACATCGATTTAAATTAGCAAAACGGGCTAGCTGCGAGGTGCGCTACCCGATTTGTCTTTTAACAGCCAGATATCCGATGCTTCTTGCCCATCAACCTCATTAATCCCCCTCCCCCACTCGGTGATCCCATTTCAACCCTAGTGACACCAGTCCCCCTCCCCTCGGGACTACATAGTAGTAACACAATCCCGATATTTTGTTGTTGTGGGGGGCTATAGGCGCACTCCCGCACCGGAGGGCATACAAGCCTGCCCCGGCCGAGCCACCTCAGGGCCTATTTTGGGGGTCGCTGGTAGGAAGGGTCCGCACAGATCTGCCTTCCCCACTCACTAGTTATCGATTTTCTGCTATTTGTGCCCGCTTGCCGAAGGCATCCCCCCTTGTGGTACACCCACTGCCCCACCCCCTATTTGGGGCTCAAAGCCTTTGCCTGCAAGGTCATCGCGAGATACCGGCCGACGAAAAAGGGTATTAAGACGGGGCGCGCGAGAAATCGTCAATGTCGTTGCGCGGAAATAAAATGCATCTGGGATGCACCGGAATTGGTGTTTCCTTGTTGGCGGGGGCCATTTTTAGTGGAAAATTTTTCCGGTAGCCCTGTAGGGCCGTGATTACTAAATTTAAGCTCTGTATATGGCATAACGACTTTTTAAGACAGAAATACGTCTATAAACTTGCCACAAATTTCCATAATGTTGACTTTTTGCTTGAAAAGGTACGAATAGTGACGAAAATTAGTAAACCGCAAATTTTCGATGTTCTGAAAAAGCTTTTATAATGTTTTGCTGGTAGGAGACTCCGAAGCTTGAAAAATATGTTTTATTACTAGGCAAGTATCTGTTAAATTTTAAAAATGCCTGTCCTCCTGCTAACGAGGAGCCCCGGAATTCTAGACCTTTTTGTGGTATAATTTATTTTATTACTAGAGGGATGGGCTGAGGCTAGAAATTGTCAGTTTCCCCGCTAACACGAAATCACCTTTGGATGTAGCATCATAATGCTGGTCTCTGCCCATCTAGCCCTCCCGACACTAACCACAACGGACTCCCGGACCCCTGCATGAATCGGCGACTCCCCGGCCACCAAAAACATTACGCATCGCGACGATACAGGATCATTGACACGTCGCGAGAATTTGGTACATTGATTTATCAGGGTGCTTTGGTCGCGGGCCGATGCGGTATCCCATGCAAAGGCAGAGGTGACTAATGGATGCCCGTCCGAAATGAATGCCTCCACTCCCACGCGCGAGCCACCCTTCCCCGGCGCCAACCGAGATTAACCCCCTTTACACCCCCAGGAGGACCGTGCTCGCCACAAAAAAGGGTGCAATTTGGTGGGGGGGGGGGGGGGGTTCGATGCACTTGACTTTACAAGACGTTGCTGAGGATAGCTGGACCATACATTTTCGAAAGAAATTTCCCAGAAAATCATTATTCTGAAAAATATGCATACCAAAGCGCGCGGAATTAGAGGGTATCGGCTCTCAAATTTTCGGCAAGCTATGAATTTCGGACAGGTGACCTATTCCTAGCAAATTATTTTTCCGGAAACCGTTTCGACCACCGGATTTTCTCCACTGCCAATATGTAACCTTGCAGTAAAAAAATACGCAAAGCAACTTCTTGAACACATACGCTTCTTTTTTTCCGGCCCAACTGAAGTGGATATATAATCCTTCCTCATAGGGCCTCTGTCTCCAAGGCACTTGTTGACAAGCACACGAGGCGACGACGGACACCCGGGCCGCTCTCGGGCCCTCAAATCTGATTTCCGAATCGCCGTTTTTCTTTCACGAATCGTCAACGGGGGAAATACGCTAAAAGTGATTCTCGTCGCGTATCTGACTGCAACATGTTCCCCACGAAAAAATCTTTTCCCTTGCTAAAATTTGGTTTAGAGGGGGTTTATATGTCGGGGATTACTTACTTGACGGACACGCCGAAAAGCCTGATGTGCCCCTAATAAATCTCTGGGTTTTGATGAACACCGCCGATTCCCAGATGTCAGCTCTCAATAAGCTGTGCCGTTTGCGCATATGGTGTCCCCAGGGGTCGGGTGCTAGACCCCATTCCATAGGCCTTTAGCCACGCATGGGCTTGAGGAGGAATACTCCCACATATCTTCCCAGTTTATATGAGGACGGGGCTATTGGGGGATAGATTCCCAATTTCGAACTGGATATCCAGTAATTTACAGGAACCCGAAAGGACATCGCGTTAAAAATATGTGTTAGAAAGTTATGGCCCCAATGATTACTGGTTCAAACTTTCGGTACTGGTTGGCAAGGGGAAACAATTTTTTCCACCTATAAGCTACTGCCAATGATAAATAGGGTATTTTGATAATGTTTGTAGTAGTTTTTGTCTGCTAAAAAGTTGCGAAAAATACCTGAAACTTTTTTGGTAAAATGTTGGCCTTTTTGGTCATTCCGGCGCAGCTCTGCTGCCCCTTTTGGTTTTGACTCCCCCCCAGGCGACTCAAAATGTTGGAAAAAGCGCTCTAAAATTTTCCAGTTTTCATACGTTTTTGACGAAAAAGTCAAAAATTATAAGTTTTGGATGGGCTTTTGTACAGAAAGTCGTGTAAAATGTGATAGAAATGGCTTATATTTTCTTTGTAGGACCGTGCAGGATTACTGGGAAAAGCCAGTTTCCCTCCTGCTCCCACCCCCCATCGCTAACAGTCCAGTACCAAACTTGCTTCCGGCCAGCCTTTAGCGCTAGTAGCTGCGGCTAGGAAAGAGCATCTTCATGGCTGATGCCAATTCCCCGGGGACCCGAGTGTGGCCGCCAAAAAGCATGTCAACATGGATTGCGCCTCGTAATGACCACGCGAGAATTTGTGGGCGGCTGGAGGGCCAGAGAGGGTCAATGGAGATGGGACAACTTGTGGGGTTGTCCGCTCTTCATCACGAGGCTATAGCCGGGGGGAATCGGATTTTGAAGAGGAGGGGAAACGTGCTAACAAAAATCCTGAAAAACTCCGAGAAATCTAATCGTAAAATGCCAAACTCCTGGCAAATTAATAAATTGTAATCCAAAATTTTCAGATATTCTCGAATACATCACGCTACGTCACGAGCCGAGGCGACCTGGTCGTGCTGGACGATGGACTTCCGATGGACGGCAGCTATCGGTACCTTCCGCCAGCTCAATTAACTTATCCTTATCAGGGTTACTGCCTGGCTCGATGCGTTGGGCGAAGCAGCCTCCGGCGTCTTTTTTTGTATCGACCGACAACACGGCTCGCGCGGAAAACCCCTTCTCGATCATCTACGGACCAGCTGACCTCGAACTGCTCGATGACGATGGCCCCGAGATGGCCGAGTTTGACTGTGTGCCAAGCTATAGGTTTGCTGAATAATTTATTCTTTTTATGCATCCAATTACAGTTCCGACTTCAACATCCATTGGTACATCGACGACGAAGAGGCCACGGAGGAACATCGGGGGATCAAGTTTGAGCAGCACATGCGCAGATTGATCATCTCCAGAAAAGCTGCTTTGCTAAAGGTTAATTAATTGCTTTATTCGGTTAATTGGAATGTCTTGTAAGGGCAAACAACAAGCTACGGTGCGCTGTCGGTGCGATGCGGCTGCTGGCCGAGTGGTGGAGGAGAAAACGGCGACGATTCGAATCATTAGTACGTTATTATTCTTTTCTTTTATCCCCTTTCTAGCATCCCCACGACTCAACCTGCTCCCCAGCCAGCTCGGCAAGGCCCTTGGCGAAGATGTGAGCATCCGCTGCTCACTGAAGGATGGCATCGGCGGCGGGGATACGCGCTGGTGGCATAACGGCAAGAAGGTGTGTGCGCTTCAAAGTTTCTTATAACCATGTTGGTTGACTTTCCCTCCTCCTTCTTTTTGCAATCCACTCGGCCGTGTCGGCCCAGTCGGCGCCCTACTTTCACTGAGGCTCCATCCAGGCGACATTTACTAATCCCTCCTCCACTCCGAGGCTCGCCCGCATCCGCATCGCATCTCCAGCGACGCCTCGGCCGGCCGGTTTCTGCCGTGAATCGCGACAGGATTGGGGGTTGCTGTTGACAATCTCGGGCGCACAGTCGAGTATAAGGTGCCGGATAATTGGCACTTTGAGCAGGAGCTTTGCATAGAACGCTCAAGTTAAGATTTTCGGCTATATCCAAGTTCGGTGGTAGCAAATATTTTTGCGTCATTTTTGGCCTGCTGGGCATTTTTTATGCGGTCAAGCTAGCAGGATACGCAAATTTGTCCAAATTAAGCCTGACCTCCTAGGCTAGCCATTCCCAGGCTGCTAAGCCTAGCTTCCCAGAAAACGGAGAAGAAAAACCTAAAATGATCAAAGACTCTAAAAACTTTCCGCCCGCTTTTCTGAAGTGTAGGTTCTACCCGGGTTTAATAACCTCCACTGCGTGCACACTTCCTAATTCCATTGAAAATATGACGGCGACCTTGGATGCACGAAGGTGGTTATTGAGACACTCGGCCGCGCCCGGAGCAATTCAGGGGAGAGTGCGGGGCGATGCGCGAAATCTCTCGTCGAAAGAGTCACCTTCTAGTGGCTGCAGTAGAATGGTGAGGGAAAAGCCGATTTTCCGCACCTGAAACACATAATAGCTTCCTGCTGTGCCCATGGTGCAGACTATCGCATGGCTTATGGGAAAAGCTGGGTGAACCTGGAGGCTTTTTGAGACGGGCATGGACACTAGGGAAAGTCTAGGTAAAGCGCACGTTCAGGAATTACTGCGTTCAAGCCTATTTACGTAGCGAGACTGCAGGAAAGTCAGCAGACGTTTTTAGGTGTATACGTACAACTTCCTGAACATGCTTTAGGGGATTTTTTTAGTTCATTAGCAAGACCCTTACGCAAACTCGGCCGCCCTAATTAGCCGGATTCCCAATTAGCCGTGATTCCGAGTCGCTCCTCGGATCTTGTTCCAACCGAAGCTCACACGGGTGGATAATTGGGCGTTTGGAGCCGTTGGTGCTGCTGCTGGCCATAAACGAATTGTCATTGTACGGGGGATGGTCAAGGGGCCACTCACGAAGGCACCACGGCATATGCCTCGGAAAGGCCCTTGAGGAGAGTGCGATTGTCAGCGCTGGCTGGCTGCGCTGACCCTTGGCTCCCCACGGCGTCCGAGATGCTCGTTGTGTGGACGATCGGGGGATTTCACATACCGGAATGCCAAGCGACCCCTAACAAGGAGTCGTATCTAGGCGATACTGCCGGTTTTACGAAGTGATATATCTCATTCGTAAGATCTTAAAATTATGAGCAGAAGAAGCTTTTTCGACTATTGCTGTCGTTCAGCGATATTTCAAAAAAATTCGAATATTTCCCCGATTTCTAACTCTATCGAATGAATCAATTGTAATTCACATCGGAAACTCCAATAACACAGATAAACGAAACCCCGTAGGAAAACAAAACAAGCGAAAAAAGTTTCCTAAAAATAATTTAGGGAAAAAACTAATCAAAAAATTTCACCCTTTTAATTCCAGCTGGCTGCTCGTGACGGCATCCTCACCCTCAACAAGATCAACGCCGACGACTTTGGCGTCTATCAATGCGAGGGTCGAAACCTCGCCGGCTCCACCGTTTCCACGTTGTGGTTGCACGAAGGGCAGGAGGATAAGCGTACTCACTCCGGAGGTATTGCTAATCACATAATTTTTGTACCTGTTCGTAGATGTCAACTGGGGATTCGCCGATGCTTCACTGGAACGTGAAGTTCAAAACCTCGAATCCGACACCAGCTCCGCCATCCCACCCACGTTCCGTGTCAGCCCGAAAAACCAAGAAGCCCAGGTCAAGGGACAGGTGCGCGTTTACTGTTCGCCGGCAACCCCCATATTTAGGTGTCACTTTTCTGTGAAGCTGATGGGACGCCGAAGCCCCGGATCAAGTGGATGTTCCAAAATAAGCCTGTTCTCGGCGAGTCGGCCAAATACGAGATAAGCACCAGCGGTCTGTCAATAAGCAACATCAAGGTGAGAGGGAGAGTCCTAGTCTGTAACCTTCTTTATAGACATCTGACGCCGGAAGGTATACCTGCATCGCCGAAAATTTACACGGGAAGATTGCGGCTTCTGCTGAATTGAATGTGATTGGTATACACCATTTGAGAAGTTGGAAATTGCCTCTGTTTAGGCACGTCGCTGATTGAACATGGACCTACAAATCAGAGCATTCTGATCGGCACCAACATCGAGATCCCGTGCGAGGCCTCAAAAGATCTGGGGGCTGATGTTGAAGTCAAGTGGTCACTGAATGTGAGTTTCTTTTTATTTATAAAAGTTGAAATACGATTATTCGTTTTAATTATTAAGCCACTGTTTTTTAGGGTGAATCAATTGGGCCTTCCGGCAATCAAGCTCTGCGCATCGAACGAAAGAAAAACGGCGGTCTCCTCATCATCCAGGCAGCCCCGGATAACATTGGCGAATATATTTGCACGATTCGGACACCCCGCGGCGAGCAGTCACAATCAGCATGGTTGCGCATCATTGGTATGTGGTATTATTTTTTTTCTTTTTTGTTACGATTCCATTCTTTGTAGAGCGGCCCTCAATGCCGGTGGCCGTCGCGGCACAGCTGATCAACGAGACCGTACCCGCCAAGATCAAGGTGACGTGGCGCCAGGGCTTCGATGGAAATTCGCCGATTATTCGCCACGCTATCGAGACGAGGACACTTGGGCCGACGGACCAGTGGGGTGTATGGGAGACTGTCGTCGAGAGCGTCCCGCCAGAGGTATGAGAGCAAGCTAAAGTTTGTTACCGCCCGCTCCACGCGCAATTCCGATTTTACTACCGCAGTAGTTTTTTTTAAACAGATTTAATCTGGGTGTCAGAAATATATTAACTTTTTTTTGCTTCAGAACTGCTGCTCATGGGTGATCGACAACTTGAAACCGTCGGCGACCGCCGAGTTCCGGGTCATTGCCTTCAACAGGTCGGGCAGAGTAATTAGGTGGACGCTCCCCAGTTCAGATATGGTGCAGGGATGCCGTCAGTGTCCACGAACAATGTGACGATGCCACAGCAGCCTCCCGCATCGGCCCCCATTGGGGTCGCCGCCAGTGCTCGGTCATCCTCGTCAATTATGGTACAGTGGCAGCCGCCGCCATCGGAACAGTGGAACGGGGACATTCTCGGATATATTATCCGGTAAGAGAACGTTTGGGCAAAGTAACATCAGGAAGAAGCTTTCTATTTTCTTGTCTAACGTCTCCGATTCAGATATCGCCTCTCCGGCTACGCATTGCCATGGAACGAGAAGAACGTCACTAACATCAACCTCCGCAGTGTCCCGATCGAACCCCTGATTACGTGGAGAACCTATGAAATTCAGGTAAATTTAGATATCTTGACAGACTCAATTCCAAGCTTAGGTCGCGGCTTACAACAATCGTGGTCTTGGCGTCTTCAGTAAAAGCGTCGACGTGACCACTTTGGAAGGAGGTCCGACTTCCTATTTTTTTTCCTAACCTTTTTTAGTTCCGAGCCAAGCGCCCAGCCGTGTCAAGGCTGTCGCGAAGAATTCAACGGCTTTCGAGATCACCTTTTCCGCTCCCGACCAGCAGCGCATCCCTGGAGTCAACCTGGGCTACAAAGTATAACGATATTCATGTTCTGATCTCGTCCATCTTCCAGATCCAATTTTGGCGTGGCGCCCCGGGAGCTGCCGGTGGCCTTCGCAAACAAGTGATCATCGACCCGACGGGTCCCGAACTGTCCCTGGTCGTGGATGGGCTTGAAAAATGGGGGCATTACAATCTGTCGATTCTCTGCTTTACTGGCCCTGGCGATGGACCGCGCAGTGAGACGCAACTTGTCGTTACGGAGGTATGATAAACCTTGCGAATTTTTGATCGAAGTTTAGGAAGATACCCCTGGACCTGTCTCTGAGCTTGGCGTCGATCACGAACAGGTGCTTTCCAACAGTGCCGTCCTGCAGTGGCACAGTCCGCAGGAAGCTAACGGGCGTATCATTGGCTATGAGCTCAAGTAGGTGAAACATATTGCCTTCTAATGCTTTCCCTAGTTATTGGCGATCTGAACGGCAGGATGATCGATTACCGCTGGAGCTTCCCGGTGATCAGCACTCGGTTATGTTAGAGGGGCTGACGCCATCCACCCAATATGCTGTCGAGATCCGCGCAAAGACCTCCAAGGGCGTTGGTCCATGGGCGGAAACACGATTCGAGAGCGGTGTTCCACCAGGTTGGTTTTTTGGATGTCTAACTAAAAAGTACTTTTAGAACTGCCTGGTCGACCCACCTCGCTCTCGATTGTCCAAATCTCGCCTCGTTCCGCACAACTCCAATTCGTGCCCGGTTTCGATGGCCATACAACCATCCGGTAATTTACCTGCCATTTCTGGATGCATCTATTTTTCAGCCAGTGGATAGTCGAGGCGCGAGTCGGCGAAAGCAACATCTTCCACCAAATCTACAACGTCAGCGCTCCAAAGGCTCGTCTCCTGAACGTGACAGACCTGCGCCCGTACACTCGATATCAACTTCGTCTGATTGCCGACAATGTTGTGGGTCGCGGTTCGCCATCGGAGCCATCGCAAGCCTTCGAGGTAACCTTTTTTTTGTGCGCCCAAAACTTTCTGATTTTCAGACAAAACAAACCATCCCCGAAGCGCCATCGTCACGACTCTGGTTCGAGCCGATTTCGGCTACTTCGATGATCCTCTCGTGGACGCCTTTACAGCACTGGCAGTGGAACGGTCAGCCGACCGGCTATTTGATTGTCTACCGGCAAAATGGCACCAAAGAATGGGTACATTTTTTGTAATTTTTGTAGCTTTTGCCCCTGCTAAAACTCTTTGACACTAGCTTTTTGATTCCACAATCCTTACCATTTCAGCGCGAAATCCGGGTATCCTCCCTACGGGCCACTGACTTCACACTGCGTGACCTCCGCCCCTTCACGTCCTACGAAGCCGACTTGTACGCCGAGAACATTGTTGGAAAATCGCAGGCCACCGGTTCAACCGTCGCCAAAACCTACGAGAGCTTCCCCTCGGGCGCCCCAACTGACGTAGCGGTCAGTCAAATCAAACCGGTTCTGGATGGTCCACTTTAGGCATCGCTCGGCAAGGATGGCCACCACTCGATAACCGTTCAGTGGAAACCAGTCGACAACCATTTGAAGAATGGCGATATCCTCGGCTACAAGGTAATCGCTAGGAAAATAGGGCTGTAGTGAATTATAGCGAAGTGAAGTTAAAATCAACTGTGTTTCTGTAATTTCAGTGAAAACCGGCCCTTTTTACAAAATTGTTATAGGTCCGCCTTGTTCCCGAACAACCCGAATTGCGCGATGAATATGAAAAGAGCGTTGATGTGATCGGCGAGGTCACAAACGTCACCAAACTGGCTGGGTTAAGGTATGAATCAGTGCAGCTTCCAAAAACATTCTCTAGGGCTTTTACCGCATATAACGTGTTCGTCGCCGCCTATACCGTCGTCGGCAGCGGCCCGGAAAATGCCTCGCCTACCACCATCAAGACAGGGATTGATTGTGCGTGTTTTTCAAACGTTGTGAACCGCTCGGCTACTTATTTCTATCACTCGGAATGATCTAAGTTTTTAGTGCCCACCGAACCGACCAGCGTCGGCTTTTCGTTCATCAGCGAGGAGGAGGCCAGGCTGCGTTGGTTGCCACCAGCCAATCCCAACGGACGCATATTGGTAAATTTCCTTGACCTGCTGATAAACGCTTGCAGAAATACATCATCACCTACGTGCGGGCCGACGAGAACAAGGACTCGGAAATCACAATTCCAATGGACTCGAACAGCTACGCCTTCTCGGCCAACGGATTGAGCCCGAACTCAAAGTGAATCTTTTGATCAATCTTTGATGAGCCCTTTATAGGTATCTGTTCACGGTGAAGGCCGAAAACGAGATGGGCTTTGGCCCGGAAGCTTCGGTTGAGGTGAAGACGACCGCTGTTCAATGTGCGTCAAGTTTTTCATATTTGTTGGCGATGATAAGCTTATTTCCATGGCCGTTTGAGTATTACAATTTTAGTGCCCCTGCGCAACCCTCCAGTACCCTCGCGCGATGAGCGGAAACCGTTTGCCTCGAGGGAGGTGCACATCTCATGGCCAGAACTTATTACATCCGATGAGGACGCACCTGTGCGCTTTGTCCAGGTATCTTTGCTATGACCTCTTCGCAACGGAACTTGTAGATCGAATACCAACGAGCGAACGAAAACGACTGGGTTCCGTACACGGATTCGACGCCTGCCAAGGAGAACCGCGTGACGATCAAGAGGTGGTCGCATTTTCTTATTACGAAAAAGACCTTTCCGAAAATTATTTTTCGAAAAATAACGATGAAAAAATGGTTTTCGGAACCATAATTTGTCAAAAATGCGGTCTATGCCAATTTCAGACTAAAGCCAAACACCCCGTATCGAGTCCGAATCCGCTTCCGCGGTGACTTTGCGCAATCTGCCTGGAGTTCCGAGAGTGAATGGATCAAGACACTCGGTGCCCGACCGGAAGCTCCGCCTGGCGACCTGGCCACGGCTCCCTTTGAAAGCGATGGAATTTTGTTGCAATGGGCCCCACCGGATAGGTTCGTGTCCACTATAATTTTTTTATTATTCTATCGCTCAGGTCTGCGTGGAACTCTGATGTACTGGGCTACCGTATCTCCTACAAAGCGTACCCTTCGAACGACAGCTGGCAGAGCACCGAAATTGCACCAAGGCACGAGCAGGAGCCCCGAGAGCGAACGACGATCCGCGGATTGAAGAGGTTTGTAAACCCTTTAGAAATATAGTCTTTTTTTAGTTTCCATCACTACGTGGTCAGCATGAAATCCCTGAACGCGGACGGCGGCTCGGAAGCTTCGACGCCAGTCTTTGTTTATGTTGGGTGAGTTAGTTAGCACTGGTAAAACCTAATATCCTTTTCAGATATTCGATCCCACGCGGCAATGTGACTGGCCTTTCCGCTGAACCCTCATCGAGCACCCAACTTAGGTTGAGATGGGATGAATGGAGAAATGAGGAGGATGTCATCACCGGCTTCAAGGTTTTTGCTTATTGATTAGTATCCGGATGGTCGATTTAGATTCGTTATGTTCCGTTGATTTCCGTGCTGTCGCGACAACCCCAAGAGGAGCAGCTACTGATCGTCGAGAATAACACTGCTTTGTTGACAGATTTGATGAAGTTTACTCAATATCAGGTAGGCGTTTTAGCACAGCGATCATCAGTGTATTTAGGTATCCGTCTCGCCATATAATCGAGCCGGCGAGGGTGGAATGGCGGTGATCCGTGAGACCACTCTTCAAGATATCCCAGGTACGCCGCTTTTCTTGACATTTTTTAAACTTAATCGCGAGGACGCTCTCGAAAATTACAAAACAACCTTTTTCAGGCCCGGTTGGAAACCTTATGTTTGAAGACGTCTTGCTCGACAGTGTCAACGTCTCTTGGAGCGTACCTGAAGAGCCGAACGGTCGTATCATCCGCTACATCGTCAACTACTACACGTCGAAACTCCAAGACGAATTCCTGAAGAACATCAAACAGCCCACCCAAATGCCCTTCATCGTGGCTACCGGGCTCGAGGAGGGAGCCACCTACTACTTCTCGGTACGCGCCGAAACCACCGCCGGCACCGGGCCGGAGGCTGCCGGCAATGTGACGATCGGATCGACGTCGGATGGACCGGAAGCCCCGACGAGACCGCGAGCCGTTCCTGGGCACACTTCCGTCGCCCTCCAATGGACGGACGGAGCTGCGACGGCCCGTGGCATCATTGGGCATCTCATCCAGGCCAAACGGGTCGCCAACGCTGAACCGACAACGACGGTCAAGACGACGAAAGAAAAACGTGTCCGTCGTTCTACGTACGAACCACCCACTCATCGCATGGGTGAATGGGTCACGTTGAGCACGATCATGGGCAGCGCCACCGGCTTTGAGGTATCTTGCAATAGCAAACCCTTGCATTCTCAATTTTTCAGATCAGCTACAAAGACCTGCACTCGAACTCGTACTACGTCTTCCGTGTATTTGCCCGCAATCGACGTGGTGTCGGCAAGGCTAGCGTAGAGAGCGACCAGCTTTTTGTGCCGGCCACGCTTCCCGAGGATCCGTTCTTCACCCAGCTTTGGTTCATCGCCATCGTTGGCATGGCCACGCTTCTCATCATCATCTCGGTCGTCGCCTTCTTATGCATAACGGGAAATTCGAAAAAGTGGGTTTTTTCGAATAGGGAAAAAGTTCTATTGAAACTGCTGATAAACCATTCTCGATTTCAGAGGCGAAAAGCGGCACGGTAGCTTGGATAGCCTCCAACTTGCTGACGGCAATCTGACAACCTTCCACTTGAAACAAAACAACGATCGAATCAGCCGAAGCCGAAACGATTTGTTGACGAGACCGGGCACCACCACCTCGTGGATTTCCGACCGCGAACCCCCGGCTTACGGCAGCGTACTGGGAGCGAATAATGGGGTTTCGGGAATGTACGGCCAACTAGCCACCGACGTGATCCCACGAGGCGCAGAGACGGCTAATCAAAGGTATTAAATCCCATCTGTTAATTTATTTTTACTATTTTAGGCTGTCCGCGTTGGCTGGGCGCGACGTTCGTGGAAGCGTATACGCACGCGGGGTAACAGCTCCGACTGCTCGCGCTGATCTCCTGTCACCGCGCGGTAACAATGAACATGAGAATTCGGACGGGTTCGACTCATTTGACGAGGTTGGATTTTCGGGATTTTTGAAAAAAAAGTCTTTTTAGGAGGAAAACGAGAGCGAGAGAGGTGTGGACCCTGGCAATGACATTGCTGGACACTACAACCACTCCGATTCCTACAGGTATCGAAATGAGAGCAACCTTTGAAAGTTTTGCTTTAGCGCAACCTGGCGTCGGGTCCGGGCACGAGAAGCCGCGAACGCCCTCTCACCGCCCCCACGAATCGGCGTCCCTCCACAACAGCCTCATTCGACCATTTCCGGGCTTCGCGCTGGCGGCTCTTCAAGCCATGGGACTGGCAGCGATTCTTCATGGCCCACCCACCAAGCGCCCGCCCTTGAAAAGGGCTTCTCATCTTTTGTGTAATTTCTGTTCCATGCAAAGCGACTAACTTTGTGACTTAGCTAACATATTTTTTTTGTGATCCTAACCCCCTTCCACGAAGAGATCTCCCCTTGAAATTTGTAAGCATTTTGACCAAGTATCGTCTTTGAGATTTTTACGGGTCATTTTCCCCTATTCGACCGTAACCTCACCCTTCTTGTAAGGCCGACAGAATATTTCTATTCCCCTCTTGTACTTTGAAATGTTGTACCTACTTTTGTCTTCTCTGTCCCGTTAGCCACTTTGCCCTATCCGTGTATCAGCCTCCTTTTCACCCTCTCTTGCAGTCTCCCCTCGGGTGCCCTATTTCTGCAAGTGGGCAAAAGCCACCCCCAATCCATCCATGGTCCATATTTCTTCGGGTATTATCATTTTCGGCAAACCATTTGCTCGGCAATTCACTTGCGATGATAAAAGTTTTTATTTATCAACGAACTTTACAAAATAACCGCTTATCTTTGCGTCATATTATCATCAAAATCGATGACACAATTGATTCCGTAGGAAGTTGATAAGAACATTGTCCACATTATCAGCATTTAGCTGTTTTCCGATTTTTCGTAGAATTAAGAAACAGTTTTCTTATGCTTCGAGTTGAACGCCACTCACCTGGCTACAAACTACAAACGAACATTTGCAACCTTTTGAATTCGTTTTAAACTTATTAAAAATGCCATTCACCTCCCAATTTTCAGCGTGAAGAATCGGGTTCAACACGGGTTGCTCTTTCTACTTACGTTGGCTGCTCGTCGATTAATAACGTGATGTTTGTGGTTGCCCGGAATTTGTGTCGTCAATACAAGGCAATCAACCACGCAGCGGCTTCTCACTGGCATGCACGGGCCCAGTTCTCGCTCAGCGCCGCACATTTCGGTAGGTTTTTGATGCTTTCTTTCAAACAATAGGTGCTTTGTGATAATTTAAAGATGCTTCTGGCTAGCTAATTAGATTTCTTTATTTTTGACCACTGGGCTTTGAAATCGGCAAATCTTACTGGCGTTTTCATAACTGCTGCTTGTAAAATGTTGCCGGCTAGCAGCCCTGTTTCCCGTGATCTATAGATCTATACCCTTGACCTGGCATAGGTGCACAGGGACCGACGCCCTCCTTTTGACCCTCCGACCATTTATTTGCTCCCCGTGAGGTCAAAATGTGCTCTAGGCGCGATATGGCGAAGGACCAATTTTAGAATATTCCTTTTGTTGCCACGAAAAAAGCTCTGCTTTACTCCAAACGCCTCCCCTTTCTCCGTCGGCCCATCAGTCGTTTATCTTCTCCCACAAGAACCAAAAAAAACCTTGAACGACGATAAAGACCGGGGCAGAGTCTGGCATTGGGGCGCGTGCCTGGCCAAAAACTGGATTTACCAAGTAGAGAGTAGCTCCATTGAGTTGCTCCAGCAAAAATTAGGCCCTAATGTTTTGTTTTGTCGCAGGCCTTTATGCGGCACGGCTTTCCATTGTTCTATTTGCAAGCTACGGCGATCGATTGCCAACAACTAGACATGCTAGGGGCAGCGCCCCTTTCCCCTCTTCCATATTATTTCTGGGAAATAATTCCATTAGCATTCGGTGCATTTGCGTAAAGTTCCGGTAAAAATTTGGTCCCGTTGACGTTTCATTTTCGCTGTTATCAGAGGTGGGCTCGCCCCATTGTTATACCCTGGAACTGGCTTTTTTTGGTCTAACCTCCAGAGACTAGAATAATAAACAAGTTTTTCGCCACTAAAAGCATAGACTAAGCAACAGCGCGCTCCATCCAACCTCCCCAACGCCGTGGCCTTTTCCCTGGGCGGTCGGCGGCGATTTTTGTTTGCATTTTGGCGATCTTTTTTCCAGGTCACTCGGCCTCGTCCTCCACCTCCCCTGAGTCCCTCCCCCAGCCCCACTCTTCCCCCCGATTCCCCGTGCCGATAGCCAATTTCCCTTCGAGTCGCGCCATCCCGACGGTCGATTCGCATTTTGATACTGTAGCGCAGTTTACGAAAAGAAACTGTGTTTTTTAAGTCTTTACAGCTTTTGTTTAATTTTCCACATTGCTGGTGTCCGCGAGGAAATAGCCAATATTTTTTCATATTTTGTTTTTTTTTTCAGGAAGAACGATGCCGAAAATCTCTGGTGGAGATGTCGTCGAGATGCAGGGAGACGAGATGACCAGGTATTATTAACCGTGTTTGACGAAAGGACTTTCTAAAAAGGTCAATATTGCATACTTTGGCGCTGCCTTTTTGTCGCGCTGTCACGCCACTCCATTCACGCCCCGTTTCTTCGAGAATGTTTCAAATCGCTTTTTGTCATGTCTTTCCCCCGTCCCCCGCACCGCATAGAGCTCTCTGATTTTTCCCGGGAGATAAGAAAGGCCTGGAGATGACTGGCGTTTTTGACAGTGATTGGGAGATGGATATGCTAGGTGAAAAGGTTGAGCTGTCTAGAAAAAAAAATACCACGAGAGCGGCCCCTTCCTACAAACTATATAAATTTTCTAACGTATTTTTACTTAGGATCATCTGGGATCTGATCAAGGAGAAGCTGATCTTCCCATATGTCGACCTCAACATCCACTTCTTCGACTTGGGTATGGAGCACCGCGATGCCACCGACGATCAAGGTTTTTACTCGTTTTACAAAATTCTTATGCCTAATTTAGTAACGATCGACGCTGCCAACGCAACGCTCAAGTACAACGTGGCCGTCAAGTGCGCCACGATCACCCCCGATGAGGCTCGCGTCGAGGGTAATTTACTGGAAATGATTTTGGAAAAACACGTGCCATTTTAGAATTCAAGCTGAAGAAGATGTGGCGCTCGCCGAACGGCACGATCAGGAACATCTTGGGCGGAACCGTCTTCCGTGAGCCTATCATTTGCAAGGTGAGGATTTTTGGTTTTTGCTTTCTCCTTCGTTCCTTGGGGGTTAAAATTGCAGTGATAACCAAATAGAGCAGCTGAATTAACGACCCAATTCTAGAACATCCCCCGCCTGGTCACCACCTGGTCCAAGCCCATCATCATTGGCCGTCACGCGCACGCCGATCAGGTTTCCAAAAATATTTGGGATTTCTATTGTCTATTTTCAGTACAAAGCCACCGACTTTGTCGTTCCCGGTGCCGGCAAGCTCGAGGTGCGCTTCGTCCCCAACGGCGGCGGCGAGGAGATTGTCCACGAGGTCTTCCAGTTCAAGGTAGCGTCAGTAGGGCTTTTACATCCCTATTCTTCTTCAGGGCCCTGGTGTTTCGCTCTCCATGTACAACACCGATGAGTCGATCGCCGACTTTGCACATGCCTCGTTCCAGTACGCCCTCCAGCGCAAATACCCGCTCTACCTCAGGTATACGCGCTAGAAGCTGCTAATAACTTTGTGTGAATTTAGCACCAAGAACACGATCCTGAAGAAGTACGACGGGCGTTTCAAAGACATCTTTGCCGAGATCTACAAGGTTTTGACATCCTGCGGCTACTCTAAACTAAAATTTTAGAAATATGAGGCCGACTACAAGGCGGCCGGCATCTGGTACGAGCACCGTCTCATCGACGACATGGTCGCCCAGGCCATGAAGAGCGACGGAGGCTTCGTGTGGGCCTGCAAGAACTACGACGGGGATGTCCAATCCGACTCTGTGGCTCAAGGTATCACCATGCTCACTTTACAGGAGCTAAGAAGTGCTAAAAAATGAGTTACGACCCGAGGTCGGCGCCCAAGGCATATGGGCCCAAGCTTCTTAGCCCCTACTTACTCCTTACTCCTTACTCCTTACTTACGCTTCAGGGTACGGCTCGCTCGGTCTGATGACCTCGGTGCTGATCTGCCCCGATGGCAAGACCGTCGAGGCCGAGGCCGCTCACGGCACCGTCACCCGCCACTACCGTCAACACCAGAAGGGCCAGGAGACGAGCACCAACCCCATCGCCTCAATCTTTGCCTGGACCCGTGGATTGGCCCACCGTGCCAAGCTCGACAACAACGCCGCCCTGGCCACCTTTGCCACTAACCTTGAAGCCGTAGGTTATCTCGGTTCTAGAATCTTAGCGCCGGCTT